AGGGGTGAGGGAGATGGGATGGGGGAGTGCGTAGGTGAGGAGGAGGAGGAAAAGTTTCTTGCTTGAGATCACGTGCCGTTTGACTGATGTAATTGGGGAGCAGGAGGGGGTGGAGAGACACGCATACGTACGCAGCATTAAAATCCTGACGCTTTGTAAAGAGACGGCCGCCGATGGAGGCCGCTGCCTGCACACCTACACAGATGTTGCACTGCAGCAGCAAGAGATAGCTCGGCTCAGCTGAGGGGGACGACTGCTCTCACTCTCACTAAGGGCAAGAATTCTGTGGTTTCTCACCGTCATCTCGTGCCTACCTCAGCTCCCGTGTGCAACCTGGACATTGCGTGCAGCCAACAGATTTACTCATCATAAGTCTTTTTGCAGCTGCAAATTATCTCCGAAGTAAGACAAGGTGTATTTCGAGAACGTAGGCGTATACAAACAAGGCCAGAGGAAAAACTGTGTGCCACGCTCTAAATAATTGGGGAGATGAAGTTCATTATCAAGGGCTTGCAATGTTTACACTGGGTCGTAACCACTGAGCCGCCAAAAATCTCTCATCAGCCAAGGGAGGGAGTTGGACACTGTGGGGTTGACTTTTTTGATTGGTGCAGTTGATAACCCTTAATTTCTCTCTCTCTCTCTCTCTCTCTCTCTCTCTCTCTCTCTCTAGTTTGACTTTTTCTGGAAACCCCAAGTCTTAAAATACCACGAGATGCTTTACTGATATTCGGCAGACAGAACACAGCTTCAGAAGCTTAGATGCACAGTTAATTTAACTTTGTTTTAATAGATGTTTGAACACTAATGTTCTTGTCTTGAATGGTTGAAGAGATCTGCATTTAGATCCATCAGTGTTACTACTAAGTTACTGATCCCCACCAGCTGACTGGCTTGATCAGTAAGTCCCTTGAAGCGTTGCATTAGTCTTGTGGACAGATGAGCTAAAGTGAGCAGTGACTAAAGTCACTTTTTCTCGACTCATACAGCAGGAAGGGAAACCAAGTGTTCTTCCTTTCAGTCATAGCTGTGTTATGTACCCAAAATCTTCTGAGAACTTTTGCCTCCCCCATCTCTGCCCCCCACCCCAAACCCCCACAGGCCCTTCCTCCATTTAAGAGAAGTTCTGTTTTCACAAGTCCTTTTCTCTCCACCCACCCAACCTCCTCCATGCCTCCCTCCCTCCCTCCCCGGCTCTCCTGCTGAAAATGACTCTCAGTCTATTTTTACCCTCTGGTCTCAACCCTTTCCCCTCTCTTTCTAACCACCCATGCTCTCGTTTTCAACTATCTCCGTTCTCTTTGTCTCACTCCCTTCCTGTCCCTGCTGCATCGGAGCATATACAATTATTTCTGAAGGAGGCACATTAGACGGTGGAGGGATGAAAAATGTCTGAAAGAGCCTTTTATGGTGGAAAAATACATCACTTTTTTATCAGCTGTTAGCTGCGTTCCCAAAAGCAATGTAGAGTAGAAGAAAAGCTTTTAAATACCTCTCCTCCGTGAATATTTGAGATTTATAATACACATTTATGTGTATGTGTTCATGGGAAATCTTCAAACGCATAATGTATGTGCATTGTCATCTTTACCCCGAAGCTGTCCACCCGCTGTGCAGACAGTAGAGGAAGACCAAAGGGAGCGTGAAAAGTAAGGAGCAGATAGCTCACTAGCGCCCCCTTTCATCGGGTGGTCTTTATCGGTGTGACGGCTTTTGCAGAGAATTTGTAAGAGGGCGGGCTCTCGTCTAACTTCTGTTAAGCCATTGGTTGGCCTACATCTGAATGTCGGCTTTTGGTTGGTGGCTTTACGCATCAGTTAAGATTTACTCCAACTTTCGCACCAATGGATTTATCGTAGGGTGGGTTTATCGAAAGAAACATAAAAATACAGATTGATTTATAACTTGAATGCCAGTTATTGTTTATATGTGAATACAATGGAACAGTATGATGAGGCTTTTTTATTCGTATCTTATATCTGTTAAGTTCTGATTATTTGGTAAGAAAAACGGTTGGAATCTGCATATGACTGGCATTCCAGAGCACACTCTGACCAATCGGTGTTTGCGGCGGGACGATGACATGCGGTCGCCTCGACCAATGGCCGAGCGGAATACGCAGAGAAAGGCGGGACAAATGCTGGGCGAGGTTGACAGGACGAGAAGGGGAGGGGGCGACTACTGAGGGGGGGCAACAGCCTAGTTTACAACAAGAGGAAGAGGGAGGGAAAGAGAAAGAAAGGGCGAGAACGAGACAAAAATAAGGGAGTAATGTCGGTCTGGGGAGCTGGTGAGATGCTATACGTGGACTTTTCGGCACCATAACAACACTCGTAACACCAAGTGTTAACCTTAAGTGAACTGTACGGCGTGCGCGTGGATGTTGTCGTCCTCGCGAAGTAAGCTAGCTAACCTGCTGCAGACGAACGGATATCACCAACGGCTCCCGACCTGATAGTGCCGCGCCGCTTCATGCGAAGCATCCACCGTCCGGCCCGGGGTCCGCTGCTCGGGGGCCTCCAACCAGCCGCTCGTTCGCTGCCTTGACGAAGAGAAAGAGCCGCAATTTATTCCCCCATTTCTCCCCGCCGATCGAAGCCGAGAGCTCTCCCCGTGGTGGCTGTTATCGCGCTGTGGACTCATCGGTTTGCTAGCTACCGTCAATCCTGTGGTCAGACCGGGAGCTGGTTAGATCAAAAACCTGCACAGAGACCCGGTCGAGGGTTCGGAGAGGATACGGTGGGGTCGGTGGCTCTCTTTGGTGGTCAGCTGATGAATAGTGGGCTTGGGAGCACTGTGTGATGGATGAACGCAGCAGACTTACGGTCAATGGTATCTGCTAATGCCGAGTAAACACGGGACCACCGAAGTCTGTGTCGCTGACCTTTTTTAAAGGGGTGATTTGGGAAGTTGGATAGGCGTTAACCGAGCTGTCAGGGTAAGACAGGTGCACGGTACAATTCTGGTAGCAGGTAATTGGGGACGGGGGAGAGGAGACAAGTTCGCATTCGCTTAAACAGTCGTGGCCGGGTCATGTTTTGGCCGGCCATTTGCGCGTGAACACGCCTGTAGTTGAGACATGAGAGCACTTGCGCTTCTCTTGCCGCTGTCTGAACGTCGGGTGCGCGGCCAGGGGCGTTCCCGAGAGGTCGGTCCCATTCGGAGCGCAGCACACGAGGCTCTTGTTGTCACAAGAGGCACCTCGAAAATCGGCGCCTCCGTCGTTGGTCGCTTGACGTTAACGGACCAGCGTTGGAAGTCCGCGCGTAACTAAATATCCCCCCTCTTGGGACAATAAGCGGTTTCTTTTCGACGCTCCTCCCCAAGTTGAACGAAGCACCTCGGGCTTCGATCGCCCCCCCACACACACACACATTCGCTGCCCGCAGTTTAGCCTAGCTTGACCGATTGGAAACCCCTCTTCTTGTTAACAGTTATCCGTTTTTGTTCTTGTTCTTGTCAATAACTGCCGAGTCCACCTGTCCGGCGGCGCAGAGCCGCGTTTCCACGTGGCCCAGAAAGACTGCGTAGTCTCCTGGCGGATGTTTAAATCCAGGCCGTGGATGGGCTCGAGGCCTTGTTAACCCCTTCGTGGCCGCGCTGCTGTCGTAATGTAAACAAACCGGGAGAGAGGGCATCGGGGGTAATTAGACCAACGGGAAAAGAGCGCTGGCTTTCGATCGTACGCGTCGTTTCGGTGTGTCGTCGATTAATCGTTGCGTTCGTACACATTCAACTCGAGGTGTGTTTTGTATCGCAGTCGTTTATGGTACATTTTTTCCACTGTTTGATTGCTACATGTGCGTTATTAGAAACGCGTTACGGAGAGATGGACTATACTTGACAGAGACGTTTGTTATTTCATTGGAAGATATAAGCGGAAAAAAAACTTCCATCTCCACGACACGACCTGATATCCCCGTGATGCGGCTCAGTGATGCAGTTATTATGGTGAAAGATGACCGCAGCCCGTGGGGATGAAACGGATACAGACACCGTTGGGCACTTGTCATCTGTGAGCTTCCCTGCAATATCAGCTCGAGATTTTGGATTAAATATGTTTCTTTAGCTGGATTTCTGTGTGTTTTCGAAGAGGGATTTTTAAAAAAGGACATTATTTTGGGGAGAAACCTCAAGGATTTCATTCAACCATGTTCTCGTCAGAGAATCCTCAGTATCTTCGCCAAGGATTGAGCATGTTTGGTTAGTCCACGTCATTACCTAACTGTATATAATACAACATTTTTTTAGGCAGATCTGTTCCATATCGAAAGATTTCAAAAATGATTATATCTGGCCTCAAGCAACAAAGGTGTTAGAATTAATCATGCACATATTCTAGAAAGTTTATAGGAGGCAGCTTTTGTTTAACGTGACATTTTTATGGAAATAATAAAAATTATAATCATTATTAATACTGTACTTACTAGTATTAATCTGTTTCAATAATGAAAATACAAATGTCTGGATTTAAACAGTCCCTTATTTATTGGTGGGTGGGTTGAGTGTACCAGCTTCTGCTCTCCATGCAGCCTGTTATTGAGAACAGAGAGTCCTGTTGTTGTTGGAGTGGTTTAACCCGTTAAGTGGCTGGAGGTGGGCTACTGTGCCAGTACTAATACTCTACAGTCTCTCAAAGTACTGATATTCCTGTATTCTGACAGTTACTTAATTGCACTCACCTAATGTTGGCTTCATTAAAATGGCTAGAATGAAAGAGGTGAGCTCAAGTCAAACCTTGGATTTTATTGAATACATTTGTTGTTATATCACTCCAAAAAAAAGTATGAAATGATTAGAGTTTATGATTGGGATAGTGATGCTTTTCCTGTTGGAGTGTTGCACTTGGAGCCCTGATTCCCCCCAAAATTGCTTCTTGGTAATCTGACTGCTAGGAAGTCTAGTTCTTTAGAAAGATTGATTTCTGCACAGGAAAGCAGTTAATAACGTGCTGGTCATCAGATGGATTTGGCTGTAAACAACGCTGTTTTTCTCTGCAGTATGGACCAACGTAGAGCCCCGGTCAGTTCCGGTCTTCCCCTGGCATTCGTTGGTCCCTTTCCTGGCACCCACTCAATCGGATGCTTCTTCTCAGCCAGGAGAGGGTCAGCACCCAGTCAACCACCCCCAGGCAGCCAGTCTGAAGACAGGTATTCAATACATTTATGTTTGACAAAATGCTTCTAGAAAATCTATTCTAATGTGTTTTTGATGACCATCGATTGTCCACTCTGCCCTCCTCCTGCATGCATCTCTTTGTTGTTCTTCCTCAGAGGGCCAGGGGGTGGCTTCGCTGTCACAGCAGCCTGCAGAGGCACCTCCTACCGTAGAGCGAGGTCCTCCGTCCCGGCCTCCTCCCTCTTCCGATGAGCTGCCTCCAGAGGAGGAGAAAGGCGACGCAGAGAGGGAGAGGCCTGAAAGCGAGACAGAGAGTGATGTTGATGACCTGTAAGTGCATTTTTCCTTTAAAAAACAACAACAACGATTTTACGTGTTTAACCTTTGAGGTTACATGAACACATAGAGATACACTCTGTATATCCTCTCATAGGCGATGATCGGGGTCTCAGCCCCATTTGTACTTTTCTGTTTGGTTCTGTGTACCCACACATACAGTATGGGAGTGTTATATTTTTTGTATCCTTGTGCTAATTTGGGCAGTAGAGCTCACTGCCAGAACAAAGCTGGTAGGAACAAAAGCATTCCATCTGTGGGCTCTATCACTATAAGAAAAGGCAGTGGCCAGGCTGTCAGCCATTGAAATGGATGAGCTTTGCACTGAATCTGCTCGTCCATCTCATGAGAGATGAACTGCTTGTGCTCTGTGGCTGCGGCATCGGATATAGACATCAGTAGACTGCAGTTCCAATACAGTTTACATAAATGCCTCAGTTTTAAATATTTAATAGAAAGTAGTGCTTATTGTTCTCAAGGGAAGTATCTAATAAGATAACAAACAGCTTTTTTGTCTCCATGCAGCTTCCTCCCAGGAGTTGTACCGGAGCAGCCCATCTCTACATCACCAGTAAAGAGACGCACCCAGTCCCTCAGCGCGTTGCCCAAAGACGGAGATAGGAGCTGCCCTGGAAAGGTAGTCTTTTCACTGCTCCCATCATTAACTTCAAGATTTTAAACGTTCCATTTGCTAATCCCTCTTGATCTCTCTATCGATCTTTCAGAGAGAGAAGGACCACATCCGACGACCAATGAATGCATTCATGATTTTTAGTAAGCGCCATCGAGCATTGGTGCACCAGCGGCACCCGAACCAGGACAACAGGACCGTCAGCAAGATTCTCGGAGAGTGGTGGTATGCTCTTGGACCAAAGGAGAAACAGAAATACCATGATTTGGCGTTCCAGGTACATGGATATGCATTTACAGACTCAAACGGCCTCAACATTTGATATATATATATATATATATATATATATATATATATATATATATATATAATTATTACTTGTTACTAGGTGGCTTACTTATTAAGTTGTTACTGCATATCCTATATTTTTGTAGCTGTACCGTGATTTATTACAAACATACTAGCACATATTACATCATCATTATTATTATTATTATTATTATATGCACATGTATTACTCTTCTATTCATTCATTTGCCTCAACCAAGCCTGAGGGATGGACATAACTTAAACAAAATCCTTGTTGTGTTGGCAATATAACTATGGCGTAATGCTTTTTAAAAAGTGAGCCATATCAAATATTGAGAAATGGCTATTGAGGTGTGGAGGAGTTTTGGTAATGAATAAACCCAGAACCTTTTGGAAATGCCTTAACATATAGCCTAAATGCCTGGTACCACAGCATTGGAAAACCAAATAACTCACTATTTCACTGTGAAATTGTGTTTGATTAAAATTCACAAAAGTCAAACAATCAGACAAAATGAATTTGTTCCCTACCCTCCTGAATGAGTTCTTTCTTCTTGGTCAGCTAGTGTTTACTGCTGTTTTTATGGTTTCAATGGACCATACACACTGTATCAGAGCTGACTTCCTACAGTCTTGTACATTTAATGTTGTCTTGATCTGGGTCATTAATGGTTGTAAATCCAGTTCCTCAAATCAAATTGTAGCACAGAAATCTTTAGTTTTTTGTCTGGTTTTGTTCTGTCTGTCTTTACCCAAAGTAAAGCGTCTTTGAGGATCTAGAAAAGCGCTATATAAAACTAAAGTATTATTAGCGGTCGTCGTGGCGCAGGGGTTAGAGAAGGTGTGCTGGGAAGCACAAGGTTGTTGGTTTGATTCCATGTTCCATGTCGAAGTGTCCCTGAGCAAGACGCCTAACCCCTAATTGCTCCCCGGGCAAAAATGTGAAAAAGCCATGGGTTTAAAGTGTAATGTAAGTCGCTTTGGATAAAGGCGTCTGCTAAATGAGCTGTAATGTAATGTAATGTAATATTTAAGTATTTGTCTATTGTAAAAGTCAACTCATTAAACTAGTAATCTATATTTTCTGTCTACCTCCTCCCCCTCTCTTGTCTCTCACCCTGCTACCAGGTAAAAGAGGCTCACTTTAAAGCTCACCCAGACTGGAAGTGGTGTAACAAAGACAGGAAGAAGTCCAGCTCAGATGGCCGTGGAGTTCCAGGGGGCAAAGACATCAGGGAGAGGAGCATGTCTGAGTCCACAGGTGGGTTTTACTCAGATTTGACATTATACAACGTGTGTGTTGATATCTCTTCCAGTCCTTTTAATAGGCCTCTCTTTGCCCCCTGACAGAGCCCCATTCTGTGGAGCTAAAGGGTGCTGGTCCAGGTCTGGTGGGCGTATCTGAGAGGAACACAGGGGAAGGTCTTGTGGGCCAGCTTACCCGTCCCAGAGCCTTCTCCCAAAGTGCCGTGCACAGCCTGGAGCACAGTGACAGGGGAAACACACAGGCCCTTGCAGAACTGACACAGGTAAGGCGAACACTGTTTCCTTCTATAATATTCATTATCATTTTTCTGCGGATGCTATAGGGAAGTGTAAGTTATAAGACACACACCAAAACGCATCTCTCCTACTACAGTATCTCCTACTTTTATTTCCCCCCAGATGTGTGGGGATGGCGGCAGTAAGTTTTCGGGTCATGCTCCGCCCCTGTCCCAATCCCAGAGGGGGGTCAGCGAGGACATGACCAGTGACGAGGAGCGCATGGTCATCTGTGAAGAGGAGGGAGATGATGATGTCATTGGTGAGAAATCAGGCCTTGTTCTCTTCCTGTGAAGCCAAAATATTAGATAAGATTTGTTAACATGGGTAGTAACTGATCCACTGTGTAAATGTGTGGATGTGGAATCCTCATAAGTGGCTAAATTTGTGTCCAGTTCTTCACCACTTCCATGTTTTGATTATATATCTGGTGGCTTTAGGAGCTGCTTCGGACACTAAGTACATCTGACTAGATTGGATTATGGATTGCAAGCACTGTCAAGTGTAGCTGTAGCGTATTTTTCTTTTTCCACAGAGGACCCTTATCCGAGCACTTCCATAGACCTCAAGTGTAAGGAGCGGGTGACGGACAGCGATAGTGAGAACGGTTCTGGAGACGAAAGCAATCGGAAGGTAACCGGTTTAAACAATCGTTTTCACTGCTGCAATAGATGTTTCAATGTTCCTTGTCATTTTGAAGTCTTTGTAATTATTTAGTTTTCTCTCAATAATTGAATCTATTTGGCTTTCTTTTCAGCGGATTTTTGCTCCAGTCATTTGCTCCTCTGCGTCATCATCGTCTTCCTCACACCACACCTCTCATGGCAGAAGTGTCTCTCTGTCCTCTTACCCAAGCAGCAAGCGTTACGATGAAGGGAGATCAGGAGGGGGGGGATTTTCAGATCACAGGAGGAAGGACAGAGGAGAGGGAGAGACTAGAGATACATTTGGAGCAGCAGCAGGAGGAGCAGCAGCAGCAGCAGCAGCAGCAGCAGCAGCAGCAGCAGCAGGAGGAGGAGGAGGAGGAGGAGGAGGAGGAGGAGGAGGAGTAGTGCAAGCCACATCTCTCTCCCTCACTTCTGGTTCGTCAGTCATCTCCACTTCTGCAGCTGGAGGGTATCCATCCTCATCAGCAGGTGCCCTGGGGGTAAACCCCCTCCCGGGGATTGGCGCTGTAAGGGTGGCCTCCACGGTGGTGACCAATGTAATGCGTCCTGTTATCAGCACGCCCCTCCCAATCGCCAGCAAATCCAGAGAAGGAGGGACATCAAGCCCACATCCGCCAGAGAGGAAGTCGCTAACTCTCCATCAGCAGCCACAATTTGTGATCGGTTCAGGACCAGGAGGAGGAGTTTCGGGGACAGGGGGTGGGTACTACTCTTCGTCATCACCTAATCCGTTAGGTGCAGGCATTGGCTCCGGTGGTGTAGTGACTAATTTGGTGTTGGGAGGGGCTCTGTCTGCTCAACCGGCCGTACAGCTCATCACACCCTCCCACCACCATCATCCCTCCCAGCAGCAGGCCTTTTCCTCCTCCGCTGTTTCAGTGTCGCATAGCCAAACCAACGGGCCCCTGCCTCTGTCCCTGCTTCACCCCCAGTTCCTCCCCACCTCTTCCTTAGCGTCCCCGGGGGGTAAGGCCATCACGCAGGTTCAGTACATCCTTCCCACCCTACCTGCCAACACCAACCCCAATAGTCCACCTCAGCAGCTCAGCCAGCCAACCGGTATCTTCAACCTGCCCACAGCTCCACCCACACACATGTCCTTGGCCAATGGGAGGCAACAGGGAATAGGTTCACTGACAGGATATTCGTCCAGCTCAGCAGTGGGAGTGGTTAGCCCTGCAGCGAGAGGTGAGTGTTACACAACTGCAATCATCCCAGCAATTAAGTAAAGTCTTGTTGGGACTTCTAATACAATGCCCACTCTCCCTATTTGCCTTTCTTTGCCTCAGTGCAAACACAGTCCCCGGTGCTGCAGGGTAAAATGATTGTTCCCATGGCAACAGTACGAACAGCACCAGCCCCTGCCCAGCAGGTTCCCGTTATGGCTCCAACTCTTCCGGTCCAGAACGGTGCTCAGGCTGGAGGGAAGGTTAGTGAGCACTTTGCTGGAGACACTGACGCGTGAACTTTGTACCTCTCCAGAGGACCAGCTCACCGCTTGCACCGCCCATCGGTACCTTCATTTATGGGTTCCTCCTGTTATGCCAGATCATCCAAATAGCTCCCATGCCTGTGGTCCAGTCCCACCTGTCTCATGGCGGAACGGTCCATCCGGCCAGCCCCTTCCCCAGAACAGTGGGCACAACTGCCGTGGTGTCCCCGGGATCGGCCCCCTCCCAGGCTGTGCTGCTGCCTCCAGCTCCTACCAGGTAGACCATGACAAACAAACCATCATGTCGGTTTGAATAAGGATGCCATACCTCTTGAACACTGCTCTGTTGTGCTTTTCATTCTGCATTGGGGCATCCACTGCTGACTTGTTGACTCCTGGTGAGCTACATGCAGGCCGTGACAGGAATACTTCGTTAACTACCAATTCCAAGAAACCGTGGGCTAATAGTCTGTTCCAAATGGTAAACGTCACCAGTTCACCAGAATGAACTAAACAAGGAGTGCTAATTTAGTGTTCAACCCCAGCAGTTAATCTAAATTGACTATAAAAAGCTTTTCTGAAATTGCCTGCCTCGCACCCACCTGCCACTGTAAGAAGGCAGTAAAGCGGCTCTTTCAGAACTGCACTTCACCGTGTAAGTAAATATTAGAGCATGCTGCTGTTATGTTTGCAGTACATTTTGTTTTATACCATTTGCGCTCTGTTGAATATACAATTTTTACAAACAAAATACTGTGCATGAGCCAAGTTTTAAGCAGATGGATAAACAAGGTGACAGATCAGTTGTCTGAAAGGGGACGTGAACAAATGTATGTGCTAGTACATTTTTGACACCGCTTTGACAAAATCAGGTGGCTTATTTTTGAACATATGCCAGCCTCACTCATCTTATCTGCAAAGATTTCATTATTAGCCGTTTCTTTCCAGTTTGTTATATGTTTGTTTCTGTTTGATAGAAATTATTCCCATGAAAGTTTTCACATAGTGCCTCAGAAAAGAATTGGATATGATGTGCTGTTTGCATGTACTGTCTCTTTGGCCCAGAATACATATTTAGAAAAGGGAGACAACATATTCAGCTTTGATCTCCATTATTGGTTTGGTTTTCAGATTATAGTAATAGTTTATGGATTGAACTAAAATACTGGTTAAATTATGACATATATAACATAGTTCTATCATTTCTCATACCGCCGATGTCCATATTTCTTTAAAGCACAGCAAGCCAACAATATGCAAGGGACAAAAACAACAGCAGGGGTGCAGCTGTAGCAGTGCAGCTCTATTCTGGGTGTGTTAGTCATGCTGCTGGTGGCCCAAGTTGCCTCTGCCTGCCACCCCCACACTACCTCTCAGCTCCTGGCCCGCACACACACACACACACACACACACACACACACACACACACACATATACATGTAGCTAGTCATCCAGTGCTGCTTGATGTGATGTACTAACCCTCACTGCAGCATTTCTCTTATGTCTTACTCTTTGTTTCTAATTGTGTCTCTGTTCCCCCATTCCTGTTTGGCTCTTTATTGTACATTAACACTTTCTGTCACCTATTTTGACATTTTGTTGTTACAAGAATGACATCGCCACTCTTTTCAATTTCATCCCACATATTTCTTTCCTCTCATCCACTCTTCTTGTACCTCCTCATCCAGGATCACTTATGTCCAGTCCACTCCAGGGGTCCCATCCACTCTGCCTCTGGTCTCCACGACATCAGTCTCTTCCATCGGCCAGCAACCCCTGCCGGTGCATGGTTCTGCATATGTGCAATCGCCCCTGGCAACTCTCGGATTCACCGCTATTGGGCCACCCGGTCAAACCCTGGTGCAGCCTCTGATCGCGGGTCAGTGATGTGGTGACGTCATTGACTCTGTTCTTTATGCAATTTCTATATAAACATTTCCCGGACATCCAATTACAAATGTTCATGTTTGGCATTCTGGAAAACGTTTGTGAGGGGTTATGAAAAACCAAAAGTTGGTTCACAACAGCCTAATTTTTTTTTCTTTCCCTCCGCAATAAAGCAGCCAAATGCACCGGGGTATTTATTGATGTGAAATTGTTACAAGTGTGTTAAATAACACTAAAATAATATTTGTCTTTTGTCTTCCTTTTTTCTTCATTCAGGTCAGCCACCTCTCTTAGCCACAGCTCCGTCCTCACAGCCCTCCATCTCGGCCCCTGCCCCGGGATCCGGGGGCCAGGCGGTCACTGCAATCTACCCTCCCTCACCTAACGTCACCATGGCAACAGGGGTGGTCTCCATGACAGCAGTACCCCCCAGCGTGGTCTACTCCATCTCGGGCCCTTCTACTGTTTCCTCCCACATCCTGTCCAAACACACTGTGACCCCCAGCACAATCACACACTCACATCCGCAGCCCCAGCCGGACAGACAGGCCGACAGGCACCCGCCTCCAGACCGACCCCCAGATCGACAGACCGACCGACCGGCCGGGGGGCAGACAGAACTGATGACTCATTCGGACAGACATCTGGAGAGGCAAACCTCCGCCAGTGTCAGCTCAGTGGCCCCTTCAGGGGGCTCCGTTGTGTCCACGAGGTCCTGCAGTCCTCTTCCGATCCAGACACCTGGTACGGCTGCATGTATTATTTGTATTTGCATAATTAGTTTGTTGGGAGTTATCTTACTGATATATCTTTTAACTGGTCTTATTTTTAGGTTTCACAGGCAGTACACCAGGTACACCTAAACTAACCCAGCTGCCTGTCAGGACCCCTCAAAAGGTGAAGGCAACACTGGCGAACATTCCTGTAGGCAGCTATGAAGGAGGAGGCCGAGGAAAAGAGAGAGAAAGGGAGAGAGAGCGGGAGAAGGAGAGAGTGGCCGCAGCCACCAGTCGCTTCTCCTTTGATGCTGAGCCAGCAGGACAGACGGGGCCTCCATCAACACATCCTGCCGAGGGCCCGCCCTCCTCCTCCTCTTCCTCCTCCTCCTCCGACCGACCCTTGGAGGGGTGTAGTGCCGCGGAGTCCTTTGACGCCCAACACAGAGAAAGCACAACCACCAAAGAGGTGAAAAGAATATTTCTACTGCAGAAAATGCTTTTATATTGTGATAATTAACTCTAAATGCAATAGAGCTACTAGGAAACTTTCAGGCCACCTCATTCAAGCCAGCTGCCCCCCAATTAGGCTTTTGTTTTGTAACACATGTTCAAAATTCTGTTTTGACAGCCCCATCATCCAGTGTGTGGCTTTGTGTGAAATATTGAAATTGAACTTTCCGCACAGGCTGGATGGAAGGAGTCCCTCCCCTCCTCACCCCCCCCCCCTCCATCAGCCACAGAACCGCCCCTGCCGCCCCCGCAGGCTGACAAAGATGGTCCTCCCGCCAAAAAAGTGAAAGCCCGACCACCACCACTGAAGAAGACTTTTGAATCCGTCGACAAGTGAGTTGACACCTTTCTGAGTCGTGCGTGTTGTACGGCTGCAGAGGTCCTTGCTGGGCGGTGTGTATATACTGTATATTGTGTGTGCGTGTTGGTCGGGCAGGGTGCTGTCGGAGGTATATTTCGAGGAGCGCTTCGCTGAGCTGCCAGAGTTTCGGCCCGAGGAGGTCTTGCCTTCCCCCACCCTGCAGAGTCTGGCCACCTCACCCCGCGCCATCCTGGGCAGTTATCGCCGCAAGAGGAAGAACTCCACAGGTTTTGCTTCCATGATACTCTGACTAGATCTGCAGAGTAGCTGCGGTGACCATCATGAATGTGCATTTATCAGACAAACTGCAAATATTTGTTGATGTTGATTAAAGCATCCTTAAAAATAACTCCTGTGTTTATTGAGTTACATAATGCTCAATACAATTTTTCTCGTCGTGATAATTATGTGTGAGATTTGATCTCTGCTGATTCACTTTTTTTTTTGTCTTTTCTTTGTGGTGCTTCTAGATTTGGATTCAGCCACTGACGAGCAAGTCTCTCCTAAGAGAAAGAGCCGTCGGCGCTCGAGCTGCAGCTCGGAGCCCAACACGCCTAAAAGTGCGGCCAAGTGTGAGGGAGACATCTTCACCTTTGACAGAGCAGGTAAGACGTCTCAGCGTCCCTCTGGTCTTTTCCTTTCTAGTTCTGGGTAGTCGATCTTGTCTGTATGTTTATTTATATTGTGTTTCTGCAGTTTGCTTTCATTGTAATGATTATATATTCATTTTTAATACTTAGTCTTTTTGCTTTTATCCCCCAGCAATAAACGTAGGGCGATCCGGCCAAATATGTCTAGAAGTAGATGGGATATGAATAACTGACCTGGGGAAATGTTGTCGCCAGTGCTATATTTCTTTCTCAAGTGTGTCCAACATGATGTGCCTGAAGGGACATTAACAGAGATTCTCACAGCTAGTTCCTTAACGCCTCTCCACCTGTTCGGCCCTTACCCAGCCACGGACGGAGAAGACATCCTGACGGATCTGGAGTTTGATAAGGTTCCCTACTCGTCCCTGAGAAGAACCCTGGACCAGAGGCGAGCGCTGGTCATGCAGCTGTTCCAGGAGCAGGGCTTCTTCCCTTCAGGTGAGATAAGAACACACGCTACAACGTATAAAGGCTACAAGCCTTTTCGTAATAGATCCACACTTGTTGACGTGGCTTTTCTTTTTTTTTTCCTCTCTTCTTTTTTTTGTTGTTGGCGTGTTTTTAGCTCAGGCCACTGCAGCCTTCCAGGCGAGATACTCCGATATATTCCCCACCAAGGTGTGCCTCCAGCTGAAGATCAGGGAGGTGCGGCAGAAGATCATGCAGACAGCCGCCCCCTCCGACGTCTCTGCTTTCGGCATCCCGGACTCTCTCGGCTCCCTCCCCGGACCTTCTAGCTCCCAGTCGGGAGAGGGAGCTCTCAAGGGAGGTGGGGACCTGCAGGACGACGACGTAGAGCAGGGCGCAGAGGGGAGCCCCGAGGATCTTCGTGATTCACAGGAGTCTTCTAGACGAGGGATGCTGACTAATTTAAATTGACCAATCAATTCAATTCATTTTGTATGGCCCAAAATCACAAATTTGTCCCAGAGGGCTTTACAATCTGTACACGTACGACGTCCCCCTCCCCCCCAAATGTTGACAGTCAGACCTTTACACCCACTACACACGAGGGCGCACACACACACACTTCTTTTAATCCTCACTCTCAACCCTCCTTTGGCCTCATCCTGTTTTTCTTTCCAGGCTTAGGACCCGACCGGTGGGAGTAGAATATGTTTTTAATGGAATGTTGGGACCTTTTTTACCTTCAGTTAAACGCATGAAACCCTATTGCACACAAACCACTTCATGATACACACACACACAAACTGTCAATCACCACACTTGAAATGGAACTCTGTATTAACCACCTTGGGAACGGTCCCATTGATGCCAGTGAACGGAGGACCATTGTGTACAGCTGCACTCATTCTCCTTGAAGGAAGGAGGCTTCTGGCGTTTGGACGCGCGCTCAGAGACAATGAGCGGCTTGAAAACAACAACATTAAACTGTTTTATATTTGTTTTATTAGCATTAGAGGAGTAAAGCAGTACCACTCTGCGTGAGGAACAACCTGTATTTAGACTCAGCCGTTGGTGTTTCTGCTGACATTAGGGGGCTGGGCCCCCGACAGCCAGAAACCTTTCATTCAACGAGAGAACTTTGGACCTGGAAAGCTCTTTCTCTCCATCTTAAGTGTTCTCGTGGAGACCTTCTGGGGTAGACGTACTAGGAGGGACTGAGAAATGGCCTGAAAACTCAAGGGGATTTCTGGCTGTGCCATCATTCCTGCAATTACCTGTCTGGCCGTGTCCTCCCTCCTCGCGAATGACGCAAGCACACGCCAGTCGGTAGGAACCGCGCATTCCTGTGCATCTCATTCGCTGGCCATGAAGGAAGGGGGCGGGGCAGAGTCACTGGGCACATCCTGGCGCTTGGTTATAAGGCTGATTAGGCCTTAACCCTCTATTGCCAAGCCGTTTTATTAACTTTTTTTAAAGATAATTTCATTTGTATTTAACGTTGTCATATTCCGATTGTTTTACTATTCCTATGGTTATGATTATTACTCCTTGTATAATTGAAATGACCCCAGTCTTCTGTTCTCATTGCTGATCTCGTCTTCCCTCGAATGGCCGCGGTGCATTTCTTTCTGTTGTTCGTTACAGAGGGCGACACACAACGTGGACCTCTCCGTTCTTTCAGTAGTTATAAGACAAAATGTTTTAAGACCACCCTTTGTTTGACTTCTTTTTCCATATAGCCTTAACACTTGTACATCTCCTTCCTCCCTTTGTCACTTTATTGCTCATTCAAGACCTTTTAAGGCCAGCGGAGAGAAAACGGGGAGGTAATGGATCAAAGAGAGCTGGTAGGATCGCAAACTGTCTTTGTGCAAGACTTGGTTGTGTTGTAAATAATTACTGTAGAGTCAGTAGACTCGTTATATCATTAAGGAAAAATTGGTCACTGAACATGAGTTGACGCTTAAAACACCCATTACCAAACATAAAATGGAAAAAAAACATGGCTATTGTTTGTGTTATACTCCTTGTTTTACTGTTCCAGTATATGAGAGGAATTTATATGAATAATTTAAGTTTGTATCTGTATCTTTTCAGTATGCAAATAAAAATGGGTGTTCAATTAAAGTGATTGTATCACTGACAAAGTAAACTAATTGGTTTTCATTAAGCTGGAATACAAGAAGCGCTTTAAGGGCCCATCAAGGATGGAGTTTTTTTGTGTTGCATCGTTGAAATCTAGTGTACAATTGAGTGTGGGTGTGATATGTAAACATGGTTAAATATACTTTAACATGGTTATGTTGCAGGAGTGCGGACACAAATTTGTCACCTTGAAAAAACATTTATTGATTTGAACTATTTACAACAGCACGACCAATCATTAAACAGAAGAAAAGTCATAGAAATTTCATAAATGATAAAAATGAATCATACAAATATCATCTGAGGCACAACCACTATTCATCATGAGTATCATGTCCTTTATTTTAGTATATTACTTAAATAAACTAATACTGACCCCTCTCATAGATTCGGAAAAGATGATGGATGAATTACTTTGGTCTGATTGCTGAACTTTATATCAATTTTGTCTGCATACTCCACCTCTCAGTCAAGAAGTCTTCGTTAAGAGTCAGTTTTAAGGCTAAAACTGAAGAACTCGACCCTTTAGAAAGAAGTTGCAGTTTCTCTCGTCAGCTCAGAGGAGCTGTAGTCCATCCATGGCGCCCGTTTCCATGGCGAGGCCGTTCTCCAGAGCCGTGTGGTAGATCTCCAAAGCCTGCTCCAGGGGCAGCACTTCCCCCCCGCTCGTCTCAATAATGGCGATGGTCTCCCCGAACTCATTACACATGATGGTGGGAGTGCCGCGTGTCTGAGAGGAGGAAGCCGAACACAGAATTAGTTCAACTGACAGCAGAATACAGATGAGTCAACGGAGAAGATGGACTGTGGTCATTTTTTCGAGGATAAGTGAGAAAGGTAAACTTGCTGACCTGCTGAAGCCCCGCGGCTTGGATCTGGATGAGCTGATGTTGCCCGTTGGCCAGCTCCACCGCCGAGGCGTCCACCGCGGCCGCGGCGCTGGTCTCCATGGCGACCTGGGCGGCTGCCTCCTCGTCCAGCCTCTGCCGCCTGACGTGGGTCTTCTTGTGGTTCCTCAGGTTGGAGAAAGTCTTGAAGGCCTTGCCGCAGTGCGGGCACATGTGCGGCCGCTCGCCCGTGTGCGTCCGCCGGTGCTCCGCCAGGTGCATGCTCTGGATGAAACCCTTTCCGCACACCTCGCAGCTGAACGGCCGCTCGCCCGAGTGCGTGCGCAGGTGCTCTCGCAGGTGCGTGTTCTGCCGGAAGCGCTTGCCGCACACCTGGCAGGGGAACGGCCGCTCGCCGGTGTGGACCCGCTGGTGGAGGGCGACTCCGGAAGACGACACAAACAGTTTGCCGCAGATGAGACACTGGTGGGCTTTGGGCCGCTTCCCGGCTGCGCCGCGGCCCCGCGCGAAGTGGCTCAGTTTGTGGAGCCACAGGTTGGCGGGAGAATTGAGCTTCTTCCCGCAAAGGTTACAACCCTGACCCCCGCGCGCGACGCCCGAGTCTCCCGATCTGGACTCTGCAGAGGGCCCTTCGCCCGCCTCGTCGGGAATTTCCGGAGCGGTGGCGTGCTGCTCCAGGAGGTGGCTGTGCCGTTGCCTCCTGGTCAGGAAGCCGGCCCCACAATGGGCACACTGGAACGGGGCCGGGGCCCCCGGGTGTTGAGTGTAGCGATGGGCCGCCAGCTTGGTGGGCCAGCGAAAGCTGGCGGGGCAGTCCGGGCAGCACAGCAAGGCGGCGTTGGCGTGCAGCAGGCTGTGCTGCCGCAGGTTGGAGGCCTGGGAGAAGGAGCGGTGGCAGACCTCACAGCGGAACGCCCGCACGCCCGAGTGGATGAGGTTGTGCCTCATCAGGTTGGCAAGAGACGAGAAGGTTTTGCCGCAGTCGGTGCACTGGAATGGCCGCTCGCCGGTGTGAATGCGGATGTGGTTGCGCACGTGCATCTTCTTCTTGAAAGACTTGCCGCAGATGCCACAAACAAAGCTGCGCTCGGCGGCGTGGGACTTGCGGCGATGGTGAAAGAGCTGCAGCTGGGAGGGAAAGGTCTTAGAGCACGAGCGACAGGAAAAGGCCCCTTTGTCGGGCGACGGACGGACGTCGGTGTCGCCCGGGGCAGCGTGGTTTGGAGCTGCGTCGGATTCCGGGGCGTCTGCCACCTGCTGGGGTTCACCCGTTGGGCCTTCGAGAGGGGCAGTCGCCTCAATGTCATCGTCTTCCGAGAGAGGGGCCAGCAGGTTGGCCGTTGCTTCGTTGGCGAGAGAATTCTTAGGGGTCGCTCTCTGCAGGATGGCGAGTGCGGAGAGAGACGCTCTCATTGGAGCAGAGGCCTGCAGGAGTAAAGAAAACAGGCACATGTAAAAAAAAATGTTATTAAATACTGTCTTCGGGGTGCGGAAGCAATAGTGCACGTCCGCGTGTGTGGTGGGATACAAGCTTATTTTACTACCATGAAGACGGGGGCGGGGGTGCCAGTCGAATCACGGTTCAGGTGGGTCCTGCGGTGGTAGAGGTACTTGGTCATGTTGGTGAAGGTTTTGTTGCAGAACTGACACTTGTGGAGGGGCTCCACAACGTGGGACTTCCTGTGAGACACCAGGAGAAACAGGTGAAAAGGACGGGGGGAAAAAAAAAGACGGTTCCTATCACAGTGGCATAGAGCGCCGGCGTGCGTTACCGGTGCATGATCAGAGTCATCTCCGTAGTGAAGCCATTGCCGCAGTCCACGCACAGGTACCTGGCCACGCCCGAGTGCGTGCGCATGTGCGTATGCAGTGACGTCGCCTTCTTGAACACCTTGCCGCACTCCAGACACTCGTGCGTGCCCTGCTCGTGCACGCGTCTGTGAGCGGCCAGCCGGTTGGCGGAGGTAAAGGTGCGCTGGCAGAGCTCACACTGTTGGGACTTGGCCCAGACGGTGGCTTTCTTCTCCGCCGCCCTCGCCCTAACGTCCTCCCCTCTCTCTGTCGCCTCCTCCCTCCCTCGCGCCTCCTCCAGGCCACTCATGACACCTGGCTCTCCGCTCTCTTTGTCCTGACCGAGGAAGTGCTCTCCCTGGTGCTGGAGGAAGTCCTCCGGGGTCTGGAAGAGAAGGGAGCATTCTGAGCACTCATACGGGTGGATGACCACCACCTCGGTCGGCTGCTGCTGCTGCTGCTGCTGCTGCTGGGTGCCATCCTGGACACTGGGGGCCAACCTGAACTCCAGCCTCTGGTCCCCGTTCTCCAGGACCCCCAGCTTTGCCACAGAGCCTCGGCCCACCGCAGGCAGCAGGGGGGGCAGCGTGGCGCGGCGTTGGCCGGGGCCGGTGGAGCTGTCTGCCAGAGCTTGAGCTGTGAGAATCTGCAAGTGCATGGTGGCAGAGCCAGGGATGGCCGTCACTGGGGGCAGCAGGGAGGAATGGGAGGAATGGGAGGACGCGGGCGGTTTCGACTGACGTTTCTTCTCTTGTTGCCGTTGTTGTTGTTGTTGCTGAGCGAGTACCTGAAAAGGAAACACACGTCAATGTGCAAAACCGTAAAAACCCCTTCATCACGCTCTCTTTTAATTCCTCTGTTGTGAGGCATTTATGATCTCAAGTACCTGTGCCAAGATCTCCCCGGCCTGCTGCTCACTCAGGACGTAATTCTGCATACTGTTCAGTGGAGTGATGGTGCCATCGGGTTGTAGCACGTACTCCTGTTGCACGGGCCGACAGAAAAAAAGTGATTTAGAGTGGATCAATTATCGGCTTCCCTCTAAAGGGAGACATTAATATCTGTCGGTCGGATGCGCACAAATCTAGTTCTAGGATTCACTCACATCATCAACTCCTGGAGCACATCCCGGCTCAACAAAGCCATAACCATAAAGCCACTTATTTTTCACGCTGCTGCTTTGTCTCCTAAAGAGTGTGGCCCGAGCCGTTGAAAAGTTGGCTTAACAATCCGCACCCGCCGCAATTGTGACAATGCGAGTAAGACCACTTACGTATCCGTGCAGTAAGCGGTTAAATGGACGTTCCAGATGTTGATGAACACATGTTTGTACAGTAGAATGAATCCCCCTCACCATGGTCTCTACGGTACTGTGGGTGCTGCTCCTGCTGTGGGTCCGCCGGTGCTCCAGCCAGGTCTCAGGTGCGTCAAACAGAGCCAGGCAGTCAAGGCACTGGTACTGGACGGGTCCAGAGGTTTGATCCTCCGACCCGTCCTCTGTCTCCAAAACCTCACACAGCTCTGTGAAACGATACAACACACAAACATTAGTCTGCTGTCTGTAAGACAAAAGTCCTTATTATTCACTACCACGGAACAGCCTGTTTACAGTGATTCATTAATACCTCAACGTGCTCCGCTCCAATCCCTCACCTTGATGCTCCACCTCCATCCCCGCCTCTCTCATGTGCATCTCCTGGTGCTGCAGCAGCTCCTCCGGGTTCACCAGGAGGGCCCCGCACTCCAGACACTGGTACTGCTGCGTTTCCCCCCACTCCGCCACACCTTGGACGGCCATGACCTCGCCGTCCCCCTCTTGGCCGGTGTGGATCTGCTGGTGGATGAGCACATCCTCCAGGGTGTTGAAGAGCTGGTGACACTCGCTGCACATGTACTGGTGCTCCACATATGCACCTTCCACCTCCTCCTGCTGCTGCTGTTCGGCCATGCTGGTACTCCCTGTGTGTTTAAGTGTGTGTTCAGAGGTGTGTTGTGTGGGCTGGAAGCGTATCGTGGAAGATGCTATTAGACAGGGGATGGTGTTTGAACTGAAACATCAGTGCTGTGTCCAGTCACCTGAGGTCAGTGACAAGAGCACACCTGCGGTAAAGGGAGAGAGAGAAGAAAAAAAACACCAAAAAGAATAAATATATTTTTAAACGGAAATCCATTATGAATCAGCAGGTGTAGAGGCAATTCAACCGTTTATATTTGGTTTCAGTGCTTCGGTCCACGTGTTTAAAAAAGATTCCCCAGCAGTGACACAAAGATATTACAGCGGTTTACAGTCCCGCAAACAAACATCGCAATTTTGCGCCGTTAGCCAAACGGAGGCCTTGTGATGCTAACAGCGCGACCACTAACGGACAATATCCGCGCGAGCCATTGTCCCATTTCCTCCACACGAACGCGACTCGTACCTTTTTGTTTACAGTGTGTGGTAGCATATGGAGAGCTGTTGGCGGCGCTCCCTCCGATTTTGCAGACCTTTTTTTTCCCTCGGCACCGCGGTTTCCTGACGGTGGCTGCCCGGTTCGTCTGGCGGTCCGTCAGGCGGCGCTACCCACTTTTCCCCGAAGCTCTCCGGCTGCGACGGCGGGCCCTTCTTTCCCTTTGCTTCTCATTTACTCTCGTTGGACGATCCCTCGTGTAGTCCTTCGCCCTTCATTCACACGGGCGTGCACCCCCTTGTTTTTTTGTTCGTCCCGTATCACCATCTGTGGCGTGGACGTGCGGAACATTTGAAAAGTGTCCGTGGGAAATCGCGTTTCATTGAGTGAAATGAAACGTTTGTCCGTTGATCGCCTCCATTCGTATGATACAGAGCCCTCCCCGATGCGGTAGTGTCAACCTTTCTCGATCTGTGATTGGACAGACTGGCTGTCAGTCATAGGTCGCGCTTTCCTTGCTGGGCATTGTAGTTCTTTTGGTCGAACGTTAGGAAATAATTTCTCCCCGAACGCTTTAATAATCATACTTATTACCAGTATCTCAGAATAATTGAGGTATTACAACTCACAACTGTAATAATTGGAAATGTTGAGATTACATTTCCGTTTTCCTTGACGACACCAAGAACTCAATTTCCCAGTAACGCTTGCGAGTTTTACGTTGGTGTGCGTCAGCTCCCCAGTCTCCCCCCCTCCGCACCATCGCCGTTCTATAGAGGAAGAAAGGGGGAGACGGGCAACCTCTACAGAACGCCGTAAGTGTAGTTCATATTTATTAAAACACGCATATACATAGCTTAAGTTTTGCCGGTGTGGCTTTCGTTAACGTTCGGCCTCGCCCCGGCTTTAGTTCACACAATAATGAGCGGCAGCGGGCGGCCCAGGACCAGCTCATTCGCTGAGCCTCCCGGAGCTCCCGGATCCGCTGCAGCCGGTGCCGGATCATCAGTAGCCGGTGGAAGCTCGACAGGAAAAACTGGGGCTTCACAAGCCAGTGGAAGCAGCTCGACGAGCTTTGGGAATTTGAAACTTCCCAGTGAGTATTGTGTTCCGTTTATATTTCAAAGCCGACTTGTACATATGATCACAAAAACTCTGATCTTTCGTTGTTTCTTATTTTTTTAGAGAAATGTGTCGGAGTGTACTTGGTGTCGGGTCATTTTCGCGGAGCTAAACCGAAGCCAGCGAGCTGTTAGCTGGTAGGCTAACTTCAGTTAGCTATCCGGCTAACGTTAGCTGTGTTTTTCATTAAGGAACCATTGCGATCAGGGGCTTTTATTGCACAGCTAACGTTGTCGTTAGCTGTAACGATTATAAGTAAGCCGTTACTGTTTTGACGGTAATTTACGCTATGCAAATGTTTTCGGCAACATTACCTAACCATTATTTTTGCACTGTAACCCAATAATAGAATCGGCGTTAGCCGAGGCTCTAATGTACTCGTCATTAATATCAAATGCAGAAGCTACCTAGCCCGCTAACGTTTGTAAGATTATCCAGGTTGAAATGATAAAGTCTTAACTTTTTAGGCGTCGTCCTCGAAGAAATTGAAATTATGATGGGTTAAAAAAACTAAAACTAGAGTTCCACATTATTACTAACCTGCATGTGGTGACCTGACCTTAACCTAATTTAAGTAACTACACGCCTCCATTGATGCATATATGAAAGCGTCAATGTGTGGGTTCAAACCTCTGGTAAAAACTAAAACCCACCTTAAGTCATCTTTCACCAAGAAAGTCCGATATCGAGCCTCTTATAGTGGAATCCGTTTGGTAAATCTTCATTTGACATATTGGTTGTAAAGCAGTGTCAGCCCAATTTCTTTAACTGGATGACAATTTCTGTACACCTTTTTAGTGGAATCATTTCCTTTAAGTAGCCTGTGTCTTTACGCGGGTGGCTGAACCGTTTGGACCGTCTACTGGAAACAACACAGTCCCCTCCAGTTGGTTTCGCTGGTGTGACGACAACAACTTGCAGAATGCTCAGGGGTCGCGTAGCAGCTGGCGGAAGGTGTGTGGGTTCGTGCAGAGGTGTGCAGAAGGACGGACTGTGAGAGAATGGATGAGAACGGCATCATCACGGCTCTTGCATCAAGAAAACACTTGAACATTTTGAGTCATTTGGGCCCTGACAGAAAGTAACATGGTATTTGACCAATAACGGTTTATTTGAACAGGAGAAATGACCACCAAAGAAAGTGAATAAAAGCCAAAGATAAAAGTTAACTCGTGCCATTGTGTAGTAAATCTTCCCTGGAGTTAGTACATGCGGCCAATCAGCAGATCTCCGTCAGGTGATTTGGCTTTTTCCTTTCCAATGCTTTGGAATATAAGCTCTCTTTTCCCCTTGTTTAGTTTTCCTAATTTCACAGTCTCGGTCAGCAAGGTGATCTGCATTCTGTCAAAGCATTGTTCTTGTGTCTAGCCACGCAGTGACGACACATAAATTCTAAATACCAACTAAAATTGGTACTAGATCCAAAAACATCTCTAAATTTTGGCCTTATTATGCCCCGCAAAGTGGATCAATATGCATGAGCTTGAGGGAGCATGATGTCTGCCTGCGCAGATTTTTCCAATAATGCCAGTCACACAAGACTGATGTCACCGTTAACCTCTGTTTATTGATCACTAATTCGATCAATACCTTTTTAGTGCAGAAGGAATAACTGTTCTTGATTTAACAAGTTGCATTAACAAGACACGACTGAATCACTACTTGATACTCATTCAGTTGTTTGACAACCGGACAAGAATAACATGTCAACAGGATCATTGTGATGGTGCTGTGGACAAATTAAAGGACACCTTGTCATCATTGAGCGCCGAAGGAGATACCGACCAGTGGTGCCTGACCAAAATAATAATAATAATCTGTTTGGCTGATCAAAGCTGTTTAGAGAAAATAGCAGTCATCGATGTAAAGGGATTAAAACTGGCCAAACAAATGCAAATGAATTCTCAGGTCTCAATGTACACTATCTGATATCAATGGCAAATTTATAACATGAGTGTTAGCAGAAATACCAAAATGGTACTTTAACGTTTAATTCCATATCTTGATCTATAGAACATAATTTTCTACCCGACAAAGTCCTGTTGTCATTTCTGAAGTAGTAGTTGTACTAGAACTTGCCTAATTAAAACTGTCCAGATTTAATCTGAAAAGTTGAATACATGGCCACATTACAGGTCATTTAGCTGACACTTTTATCCAAAGCGACTTACATTGCATTTTTAACCCATGGCTTTTACATTTTTTCCCGGGGAGCAATTAGGGGTTGGGTGTCTTGCTCAGGGACACTTCGACATGGGACATGGAGCAGCCGGGGCTCGAAACGGCAACCTCGCAGTTCCCAGCGCACCCTCTCTACCCCTGCACCACCCCGACCATGTCTGTTGCATTGTGTTTTAAAACCTGTGACATGAAAAATGATTTCTGAATTCTTATTGTCTAATTGTGGTCACTCAATGGATGGCAGCGTGGCTCCTTTTCTGACTGCCTTGAAATGAGAGAGCCATTAAATGTCCTCCTTTTTTCTAAGATATTAAAACATTACTTTTTGTAAAGTTTGTGCTTGGTGTGACTATCACAGCATCCTGTTCCAAAATATATTTATACCGTAGACTCTGCCAAGTAGTTTAAGATTCCTTCATATCGATAACTGGACATCTGAGTTATTAAAAGCTTACAGAAGCAACGTGTGCAATAGTCAACATTCGCGTTGCCTTCTTTCTCTCCCTTTCAAACACGGAGCAAGTGTTGTGGCGCTCTGTCCTCGTCCCATAGTAAAAATGTATTGAATGTATTTCCAATATTCACATTTTTGGGGGTTTAGCCTTTTCAAAAATGACTTTTTTTAATGCGGTAGAAAATATTTTCCCCCGGCATCTGTATGTGATCCAGCAGCAATCTAAATTGTATTTATACAACTACAAAAAGACAAAATCTCATTTTATCCAATTTCACAAAACAACAAAATATGACTGACACTCAAATCTTCATTAACTACCAGTTACGCATGTGAAAAGCATTTAAGTTGGAGTCGTTGCATGTCGAACATCCTTTGGCACCCTTTAGGTTCCCGGCTGCCTCCGTCCCGCCTTTTCGAATCCTCAACTTCCACACCATTGGTAGATGGTCGTGTGTGGTGGTGCACTGATCCTGACCTCTTATTAATATCACAAGGAAGTTCGCCAGCTCGTGAACATTTATAAAGTGTGGGCAGAACTCGTGTGGTGTTCGTTTTAAGGTGTCCTCGGTCCAGTCGGACAGTGGAGACCATGTCTAATCCACACTAGATACTCTTTACCAATAAATAACATTCTGCAAACGAGTCTCCCGCTGGGCCTCTGACTTGGTATGACGTCAGGGCCGTCCCGGCCTCATGTTACCGTACTTGGAAATGATCGGTACACGCAGTGTGATACATATTTAAAATTGAGAGATTACCTTCGGGGATCGGAACCTGGCCTATCGATGCTTGAGCGGTCGGCGCATTTCAAGATCGCCGCCGTGAGTATTCGTGGCACCAAACAAGAAGACAGACGACAATAGTTTGCTGTGTAGTTTTCTAATCATAAAAACAATCTTCTGGGCAGAGTGCTCACTTTCACATTCATTCGTCAAGGGACTATCGTGCCACAGCTGCTCGATACTTATTGTGCTCACCTCCTCTTGTTCCGGAGGAGTGAGAGAGTGATGCTAGAAGGAGATACGGGGGAACATTGTATTGTGGCGCAGGAATAGAGGGCACAGGAATGTGCAGGAACCTCACAGTGACGGATCTGAAAAGTCTTTCCTGCTGACCGGAGGGCTGAGATTAAATCTAGGCCAAGTGCGCTTTTGGCGGCTGTTTATTAATAACCTAGAAAAATGTTTGGCTGGCAAACTTTTGAAAAAATAGCAAAACTGTAGTCTTTTGTGACTGTGAATGCATCTTGAGACGGGTTTCCACCCCAAATGCTTAATTGTCTGACTCCATTTTGCGACTTGCAGACCTACTAGAGATCAGGAGGGGTCCTGTTGAGACAGGCCAAGTGAGCGAGCCCAAGAAATGGGAGCACTTCTGGGTGCGCTACTGTCCACGCAATTTCTATCACAGGCTCTGACAAGCCTTTTGGCAACGGGGCTCCTGCGCTGATCTTCCCCTCCCCGTGCCATTGCTTCTGGTGCCGGTTTGTCAAATCCTTCCTCGACCCCACCCGGGCTCAGGCGCGCAGCGCTGAGCAGCTACTTGACTCTAACTGGAGCTGTCAGTTACTCTTAAAGCGTTGACGTCTCTTTTCCACAAGGTCAAGAATTCAGTTTAAAAACAAGAATATATGTGCCTGTATTTTGGTGCTTGCAAAATCAGAATGGCCAATATAAAGGTAACCATGGAAACGTGGACTTATAACATGCAAATCCAAATATATAGCTGTTGTTTGATCTTTATTTCCGACAACCAAAATAAATGTACTAGATACGACTGGGTGCTCAGCTATATTTGGATTATATTTTATTGGAACGCCAACTTCCAGGTAATTAAGATTCCTGAGGTCCCGCCCTCAAACTCTAAATGAGACCGACTGGTGAGACCTGCAATCTGCGTCGGTCAGCACTTGTCACTCGACCTTTGAGACCTAATTGGGTTAAACGTGGGTCGCAGGGTTGTGATCCACGCACTTCTACTCGTAATGGGAATTCAATGTTCACAACTTTGGCAAAAAAAAGGGCTGTCAACCGGAAATAATGACATCCCAGTTATGCATGGATATTCTGCCAGCTGAGCAAAGAACCTCGCCGCGAATAGAACTGAAAGAAATGTCGGCCCTTCAATTTATTTTTGCTACTACATGAGTGATATTGTTTTTTTAGCCGTGGCATTTGTGGAATAGCTGTAGTGAATTCCTCTTTGACAGCGATCTCAGTTTACTGGCATCGTATTTGTGTCTCTAGAATGAAAGGGGTTCGTGCTGGTTTGACCCAGGGGACAAGCAGGGAAGTGTTATGGGAACTCAGCAGCTCATTACCAGCCAGACAACCATTTAGAGGGCTTGTGTCTGTCGCAGAGACGCAGGTTTGAAGACTGAAGAGTCGTGTTTCTCAAATGTCAGCATCACTTCATCCATGGACACAACGTTTTCAGATACTAGGTGTGAAGCTACATTGAATTAGTTGTCAGCGAGTGTTCTGATCACATCGGGGTCTTTTTAACCAGGCGTGTTTGTGCTCTCGTTCACAGGAGACAGTGGCAAGGTGACAACGGTGGTAGCCACACCCGGCCAAGGTCCCGACCGCCCCCAGGAAGTGTCCTATACAGACATAAAGGTTATAGGAAATGGCTCCTTTGGGGTGGTCTACCAGGCTCGCCTCATCGACAGCCAGGAGATGGTGGCAATTAAGAAAGTTCTCCAAGACAAGAGGTTTAAGGTATGCTCAGAGACGTACGGCCATATATTTACTGTAAAGTTCACACCCAAATGACATTGTTTATCACTTTCACCTTGTTTTCCTTTTCGTTACAGAATAGAGAGCTGCAAATTATGAGGAAATTGGACCACTGCAACATCGTGAGGCTACGCTACTTCTTCTACTCCAGTGGAGAGAAGGTGTGTGTGTGTTCGTTCTCCACACCCAGCCAGTCATCAATGATGATTCATAGACATATTTTAGACAAGCTGATCCGGGTCTTGATTGCACATAAAATTCACACCCTAGAGTCAACATATTAAGGAGCTGTATGGGCCAAACTTAACCTCTCAAATCTATAAAGATGCAGCGTTGTATGGAAGCAAAGTGCAGTTTCATTGTATTTGAAAATAAAAAAAAGTAGAAACTCCCGTTTCCTTATGAATAATGGAGTGTTTCATAATTTATGAACTGACATTGGTGTCGGTGAGCCTAAATATCCTCTCTGAATCTGACTGTCTACACTGCATTGTACTTTGCAGTTCTAACAATAATAGGCTAACTGTGTTTACACATGTAATTATAGAACAATTTTATTGCTAATACCGGGTAAATGTTGTGATAATGACCTGCACCAGCTGTAAATGTTTACTTGGGTGTTGTTTGCTTCAGATATTCAGCGCTAACATGTGCAGCGCATAAGATGAATGTTGTCCTTCTAAAAGCCAACCTCCATCGTGAAGCTTATCGTTATACAGCCACAGTCATTATTCTTTGTTTACTTTCTGACCCCCGGTGCGACCCGACGTATTGCATGATTGGTTGTGTACATGAGATTTACGTTATTAAGAGTTGATTTTCCACCTCTAATCAAGCCGTCCTCCCCTCCAGAAAGATGAGGTGTATTTGAATCTGGTGCTGGACTTCGTACCCGAGACGGTGTACAGGGTGGCTCGGCATTTCAACAAGGCCAAGACCACCATCCCCATCATCTATGTTAAGGTGGGCACACGCGAAGCTGTGTGTGTGCGCACACACACACACACACAGTACACCGTATTCATTTTGGCTCTAACTCGTAATGCTGCATGCGTTAGTAGTGGGAACCTCTGATAACCAGACTGTCGAACGTTTGCTGATTTGTAGAAAACACTCGACGGTAACATTTGTTAGGAAGGCAGCTGCTTTGCAAGTTGGAGGCTATAAAGCAGTGATTCTCAACTGGTGGGTTGCGGACCCGTTTTTAATGGGTCGCGGGCCTTTGCCTGGGAAAATAAAAATTAACAGCTGGCTGTTTTGTTTTTTCATTAAACTTGTTTTTGTGTTGGCACACGTATTCTGTCTCCATACTATCTCAGGTTAAAACTGCACCATGTTTTCATTAAATAAATTTGAGAATGTTCCTCAATTTGGGTCGCGGCTTGTCACTAAGGGGTGATGGTGGGTCCCGGAGCCAGACCAGTTGAGAACCACTGCTATAGAGTATTCTCTAAATACTTAATTTGAAAAAGATGAAACATCAAGTCAGTCAGCGACTGGAATCGTCTCTCTGATATAATAAAAGGGATTAGATGTAAAGACTTCATCCTGGTTGTTGTTGATTGAGAAAGGTTTTGACAAAATTAGAATGGGGAAATGAGAGTATAATTCTGTTCTGTAATTCAGTGAGTGGATACAAAGTATTTTCCGGTTTGTTTTTCATAGGCCGCTCTCTGCTGAAGGATTTTTAAAGCAGAAAGGGAAAGATGGTCCCAGGGGAATGAATCAGTTTGCAGTACACTTGGTTTCCTGTTTAAAAGACAGCTCTTTTCTGTGTGTATTTCTTTTCTTTTTTTGTGTGTGTGTTCACTGTCTCAGAGAGGACACTCGAGCTGTCTCACGCCTCATTTCCCTCCCTCAGCACACTGCTCCCCCGTGGCTTTAGGATTCCTCCGGAGCTCTCTCTCCCCGATGCTCCAGAGACACACTTCCATCACGGCCTGTCTAGTGGCCTCCCCTCCCTCCCCGTGTCCCCTCGGTCTTCATGTTTCTGCGAGTGCTTCTCGTTGTTTCCCCTCCGCCCCCTTTTCAAACATCTTCTCCAGTTTCTCTTTGTTCCCTGTAATCGTGTTAGTAATCAGTGTAGCATCATGGGGGCAACAACGCTGATAATGGTGGTGATAAGTGGTTTGTTTAAAGTCCACATTTCAGCCGCAACAAACGGGAAGTTATTTTTTGTTTTTATTTGTTTTTTTTAAGGCAGAATCCCACCAGGTGGAACATGTTGAACTAGGAACTCTTCCTGCTGCCCTCGTGCACTTTGCTCTCAACGCGCCATCATTTGACGTGCTGGGTTTGAAGTGCCAACAATCTCCCCACATTTAGCCAGGACGTTTTCCAAACCACTTTCTTTTAGGGACGCAGGGCTGGTCCTCTGCCGACTGTGTGCCGCGCAGGGTAGATGTTGCGATGGAAGCAGCCTAGCAGCCACCAACGTGCTCTGGACACTATCAGGGCGTAAAGTGGTCACTTGCCCTCACTCCTCTGCACAGCTCTCTGCTGTGTGTCGCGCCTCTGTTTGTTTGTTTCCAAAGTCTGTATGTCTCTCTGATCTAACTGACTGCAGCAAGCAGCGGTTTTGTGTCCTGGTCAACACCAAACACCCACACCGGAAGTAAACAAAGTTGCGTTAAAAACTGCGTTAAAATATTTTATTGCATTAATCTCGGCCACATTAATCTCATAGATTAACACGTTAACTTTGACAGCCCTAAAATGGACTTAATAAAATTAAATAAATGTAAGTTTTTTATTTGTTTTGCCGTCCATCCTTTCTGTCTTAACCAGAACCAGGTTGTATTAATTAAATGCATTTAAAGTTGTTTTATTTGAATACTTTCCCACCATACATTCATTCTTTGGCCAGTATAATGAAAGAGATATTGAACTATAAGAAGAGCAAAAATAGATGACCGTGGTGAACTTTGGTCTGTAAAAGGAGTTAACATGTCTATGCCCCCCCCTTCCCCCCTTCATCCCCCCCCCCCCCCCCCTCCCACACAGGTGTACATGTATCAGCTGTTCCGCAGTCTGGCTTATATCCATTCCCAGGGCGTGTGTCACAGAGACATCAAGCCCCAAAACCTCCTGGTGGACCCAGAGACGGCCATCCTCAAACTCTGTGACTTCGGCAGGTCAGTACCAGACTCCGCCTCCGGACCTGTCGGTGTTACCGCCTGTGTCTCGGCGTGCATGTTCAGTAGGCTGTCTGCTCGTGTGGCCGTCTCTCTCTCAGCCCAGACTCTCCCTGTTTTCATCACATCGTGCGGCCGAGGAATGAGCGGTTCATGTTGACTGGCGTTGCCCTCCTGAGCTGTCGCTTTCTGCTTCGTCTCCATTTTACTGCCTTCTAGTGCGAAGCAGTTAGTTCGGGGGGAGCCAAATGTGTCCTATATCTGCTCGCGGTACTATCGCGCCCCGGAGCTCATCTTTGGTGCCACCGACTACACATCCAACATCGACATCTGGTCGGCCGGCTGCGTGCTGGCCGAGCTGCTGCTGGGCCAGCCCATCTTCCCTGGGGACAGCGGAGTGGACCAGCTCGTAGAAATCATCAAGGTACAGTAGGGATCCCACTGAGAGGCAACGGTTTGCTCAGGGTTGATGAAAGGAGGTCTAAAGTTTGAAATTGAGAGTGTCTATAAACTGCATTTGTAAGAGCTATTGTGAAAGAAACTCCAAACCATGTGTGAGTGTAGGGGGTATAATATTTGAATACATTTAAATAAGGGAATTGAGAACGGTGTGTACAGAAGAACAGTGCAAACATATTTTCATTCATGTTCTTTAGGTTCTGGGGACACCAACAAGGGAGCAGATCAGAGAGATGAACCCGAACTACACAGAGTTCAAATTCCCTCAGATCAAAGCGCACCCTTGGACAAAGGTATGTTCCCGCCGCGGGGGAATGTGAATAGTGGTTAAGTTGAAGGGTTTATTCTCAGACAACTCGTTTGCCTGTCGTAGGATGAAGTTATGCAATAATAATACCAAACTGAAACAACATGTTTGATCTATGTATACACGTAAAAATGGATCAAATGATGCAGCTGCGTGGTATTTTTTATCATATCATATTAAAGTAGCGGGAATGAATATCAACTTGAGCGGTTGATGTTTTTTGCTTAATAGAGTCATAAATGTTGTTTGTTAGTCAGACTTTAAAGCTGAAGTTGTCGATCTGTGTGACGAGGAGTCCAAGCCGTGGATACGGTAAAGCGCTCCGCCGCCCCCCCCCCCCCCCCCCCAGTCACTGTCCTCCGGCCGTGGATTTCCATAAACCCAAGTTCCTCTCCTCTGTCAGGTGTTCAAGCCTCGCACCCCACCGGAGGCCATCGCCCTCTGCTCTCGACTGCTGGAATACACGCCGGTGACCAGGCTGTCTCCCCTGGAGGCGTGTGCGCACGCCTTCTTCGACGAGCTGCGTCAGCCCAACACTCGCCTGCCGAGCGGACGAGATCTGCCGCTCCTTTTCAACTTCAGTCCCGTCGGTCAGTTCGGCTCCACGTCTTTCTCCACCCTGTTCGATCTCTCCGTACTCGTCTTGTGTTTGTCCCCGGTCGTATTCCGTGGAATTAATGGACCGTTTGTTTGTTCTTCTGCTCTGTCAGAGCTGTCTATCCAGCCCCAGTTGAACTCCACACTCATTCCTCCTCACGCTCGTGCACAGACATCGCCTGCCTCACACGGTGTGTATCCAAAGATAAAAGCCTTTTGGAGGGGTCTGATCTAAACATTCACTCATATTTATTTTAACGTTTTTATCGTTAGCGGTTTGATTATAAGATTAAGATTATAAAAGGAACAATTCATCAAGTGAGCAATGTGTGTTGTCCTCATGGCATGGTGCGTTCAAAAAATCAGTTTAGTCAGAACTTTGAACCTGAGCCATTATTAAACCCAACCAGACATTTAATCTCTTTACACTTTTTATGAATATCACTTAGAAAAACATTTGTTTTTACTATGCTCACATTATAATCAATTGATAATGACTTGATCCTGAACTGTCTGAATGTCTGAGTTTAGTCTGTTAGTTGGTGACACGTGTGCTCCCTCTCTCCCCCTGCAGATGGCAGTGTGTCAGACAGTACCGCCCAGCCCAGCTCAGCACCCGGATCCCTCAACAACAGCACCTGAGCATCCGGCCCTCTTCCTTTTCTTCTTTTTTTTCCTTCCCGGTTTTTCCTTTTCCCCCCTCTGCTCTTCTCCCCCTCAACCTCCCCTTTGGCTCCAAACTCTCAAAGTAGAAAAGAAAAGATTGCTCACACCCACATAAACACATTGCTATTTTCCCCCCAGAATCTTAACCCTTTCCAACAGAAACTACTTTCTCTGGCTGCCAGCTTCAGAAGATGTGGGGATTGATTTATGGGTATTTAGGTGTCCACACTTGAGGTCAGGGTAAGCCGGAATCCACACTGGCCTGTTAGAATGATGAAGCTTTACATTGGTTGGGATGTTTGGGAGATGAGGACGGGGTTGGTTCATGCTAAATGGATGTTCTGTGTTGTGATATACAGTTGACTTTTATCCCTTTTTTATGTTTATTTTATTTGCATTAGCGTGTTTTATGTGTGGGTGCCGTGGCGAGGGCCGTATGGGGCCCGACTAATATTGACAATCATCCTTAGTGGGGTCAAAAGTGGCACACTTGTAGTGTACGTGTTGGATCGTACATCACACTGAATGTAGAGAAGTGACTTTGTCATCGCTTTCTACCCCAAAACTCTACTCAAGTAGTGTCGGCTCACCCGGCCAAAAGGTGAATTACTTTTAATCTCTCAATTTGATACCAGACGGCAGATATTTGTTGACTCTGGCTCATTTTAGATCAGTTGGTTTTAGATTGGAGCCGTGGACGTGGGGCTCCACTTCAGTACCGGTTTTTTAACGATATCTCTCGCGTCATAAACACAGAGAAGTCACCTTAATAATTCTTTTTTTTTTATTTTTTTTACTGTGTTCAGTTTCAGATCGGCTCGATTATGTTCACGGTGCAGTTGTTGTCTGTGCAGGAGGACGACGACTCTGAATGAATTCCGTTTGGTTCGTGACCCTCTTCGCCCACTTCCCAGACACGCCTGCCTGTTGACGCGCGTATCATGTTCTTCTTGGCCCGTGGGGGGGGGCGGTCGCGGGAATGATTTTGATCGGCCTGACGGCACCACCAGTTGTCTGTCTTCCGCCACGCAAATGTGCATGCTCAGCCCACGATGCCCAGACTACATTTCCTCCACTAATCTTAGTAATAATCAGACCAGCAATGATGCTCGAATCCCTGGAAGCCAACAGCTTTTGGAGCCTCCTTGTCCACTCCCTTTTTGTCCTCCTGCTTCCCTCTTTCCTCCTCCTTTTTTCACTGCTAAACTGTAAATATCAAGTACCTTTTATTTTGTTATTATTGTTATTATATTGTACTTGTAATTTTAGTTTTTCTTCTGTAGTAGCCCGGCGCAGCAGTTGCCGGACTGTTTATCCTCAGTCGCAGTCTGTAAATACAATTTAATTTCAGTCCCTGGTTCAGGAGGGGAAAAACAGAACAAAGTTTCATTTTTATTCTCTCCCTCAATTTCTCTCTTCACAACTTTCTGTTTACCCCATAAATGTTGACTTAACTGTTTTATTTATTGTGTTGGCTTTTTTAGGGTGGGAGGGGGTCATTTATTTTCCACTGAGGTGGCACAAAAAAAAAAATCTTTTTTTTTTTTTTTAATTCTAAATATGTGTCCAGCAATGTCGCACGCAAAACAATTTCACACCCAAGATACTGTACGGAGTCGTCGCCGGGTCCTCCGATCAGTGCTCTTGTTTCTCTACAGGTGCACATGCGAGCCAACTGGTGGAACTCCACTTTTCCATTTAACTTCAACGCGAAGAGAACGTTACAAGCCTCCGGATCTATGGGGGTCGTAATGTTGGGAGCGAGCAAGCAAGCGAGTGTGTGTGTGTGCGCCCGTGCGTGTGCGCGCACACTCTCAGGTGGGAGAGTGTGTCTGCAGGAAAGGGGAAATAATGAACTTGCCTACCGACATGCATCATCTCCTGTGTCCGACCGTCTCCTGTTTCCACGGACTGTGTGGTGCGGGTGTGACAGGTCGGTCCTGTTTGTACGGTGCGTAAGCGTCAGATACTTGAGGAGTTGCTGGAGCACAGCTGCAGGGAATGTATGCGTTTGTATGAGTGCTGGCAGAACGCGGACATTATTCTCAGTACTCGTCACTTTTTCCTAAATGAAGAGCTGACTAAATGTTCTATTTTAATGTAATTTCTTTTTCTTCTTCCGATACGTCACGCCTCGTTTTAAATTTGCTGTGACCCTGCTCTTTTATCACCATTGTCTGAGGGTAGAATGTGTTTGTTGGGAACAGAACGGTTGGATAAAGGAGATGTTAAAGAGAGGGATAGAGGGAGAGAAAGTTTTTGTTTGGTATAAATAATTAAACTCATTAATAAAGTGATGAAACTGTGCCTGTCTCACATTCATGATTGAAGTATAGCTGAAATAAGTGAGGATTTATTGATAACTCACTTGAATACAAATCTTTTAGTACTATTAATGGTAATAAATAATAGAATAATAAAAGCACCTCACTAGTATTACCTTATACAGGACTTTTACATCAGTTTTTTTTTTTTTAACAAATACCATTTTTGGAAGAATTTAAACTTTCTGACTCGCGGCCTCATAGCAGTTTAATGTGGCCGTGGTGCTGCAGAATATTCATAATATATTTATGCAGGTGCTGTGTTTAAATACTTCTGTAAGGTAACTCATTTGGTAGTTTTTCAATTGCGTGATTTTTTTTTTTTTTGCACTAAACTCCAGTTCACTCGCAACGGTTGCACTTTTAGCCCAATTATTTACTATTCATTTTTGGATTAACAATTAAACACAACCTACCAATACGCCGTGAATTAAACCTAAAACCAAAATACAATTAAACATGTTAATTAGCTGGACCGCAAACTGATATGAATAACAATCTTCCCTACCTGTTAATGCTTCTGTAATAAGTTATAAAATATTAGGAATGATTTAACATTTGATATTTAAAGAACGCAAGTTACCTTTTGAGTGCAGGAGTGGCAGATCTACTTTGGTAGTAGACACTTGATGAAAGGACGAGTCCTACTGCAGAGCAGAGTGCAGATGAATAACGCTCATGAACTGCAGATGAATCCAGTAGAGAGAGAAAGAGACATTTGAGTTATTCTAGCGGATAAAACCTGGCAATCCTTCTGAGGACTGGGTGGAAACGAGGGTCATTTCTCGGCCTTCTGGTAACTCGGGATGCAATCTGTTCTGCATCAGCGTGAACAGCAGTGTGATGCTGAGAGGCTGTTGGACTCAGGTGCTTGAGCCATGAGGAAAGTCCTTCGTCGTGCTTTCTGAGGCCTTTCTTCTTCAAGAAATGTTGATAGCTAAATGCGCTGGATATTGAGACGTATGAACTTGCTTATCGGTTACAAGTTGTACGATTTGCTTTTATGAAACCTTTTCACGGAGGGATTAATGAAATGACGCTCTCGTGCTGCTCCAAACTGATTTCATAACGGTGACATCTGAACAGTCGTTATGGAAACCGTGCTATTGCAAATGTCAGTGAAGAGGCCTTTGACCTAACACTTGACCTTCCACAGTTTGATAATGTCGTGCATGTGAACAAAGGGATGCTGGTTCTATTAATAGTCATATTGTTCCGTATATTTACCCTTCAACTGTTTTCTCTCTTTTTCACATTTGTTTCAAGATATCTGAGCATCACATTGAGTTAAGATCTTCATTGACTCCATGAACACAGCAGAGTATCGCCATGGCTGCTGAACGAGGACATGGGAACCTTCTCCCGCGCATCCGTCTCAGAGTCCTTTTTTTCATTCAGACAAAAAAAAGAGGAGCAATATTTAACGAAGCCTCTGGGTGTCTGTGAACTTTCTTTTTTGTTCTTCTTGAGTACAGAGTAGAAATACTGATGCGCTGCGGCAGGACCTTTGTCGGCTGGAGATTGAAGAAAACCCCGGCTCTATTACTTTTAGGACTGCCCTTCGAGTTCAGCTGAGATAAATTATTACTTTGTCCTTTTATGCCGCTCTGTCCTTGGTCTCTAATCGTATTCGTGAATTCAGTTACAATTACATTAATGTTTTACATTCTTTGTCTGTTTTTGGCTTAAAATTGTGGCAGGTCAATGTAATTAAAAGGCAGAACAAATGTTGTTCTACTGGTTGATTTGTGTTTGTTCTTAATTCGAAAAATGATTCATTAACAAAGGATGAGGTGACTGTTTGCTACCGTTTGAATTTGGGGTATAAAGTGAACAAGGAATCGATAGATGTGATTTACCTTATTAAATTGTCTGGAAAGAATCTAATCTAGGAAATGTCAACTGGCAGGCTATGTCTATATACATTCTTGTACACAGTATAATATTATTTTATTTTTAGTTTAATTTGGTTTACTTTTTTTTTTAATCTATATTTTACAATTTGCTTACTGCTGTGTCTTTAATTTTATATATAACATTATTAGATGGCTGTATGTTATGAGGAATAAAATACCAATCACAGCTGAAACAAATAAATTATAATTGTCAAATGTAACAAAACCATAGCTGTGTAAATAGATGTTTGTTGTTTTGTTGAATATTGTGCTTAACTTGATGCAAATGTCAAAGATACTCGATAAGTGCCAAAATGATTCTTTATTTTTTGTCTCTAGAACAAATCCAGCTCATCGACCATAAATTGATAAAAGATACATTTAGACTGAACAACCACAACAGCATAAAACACTAGTAACAGTGCAGTTATTATTGATGACCAACTATATTTACACATTACCTAAAGGGAATTCGTGAGGTAGAAAATTACAGGTATTGGGTGTATCTCACAATCTAAATGCTTGTCCTAATATGGAGAAAAGAAAAATTCTTGCGCGACACTGGTGCAAAATCATTAAACAGGACAATTATTAAATAATACCTGCAAGCAGGAGACACATTGACACACGTACCAAGTCCTGGGTCAAGGCTACTCCAAGGTTTTCTTCTTCTGAGGGGGAATATGTAGTTGGAAGATGCACATGGGCAAGTGCTGGTAATCAAAAGGGAAAGAGCATAGACTCTGTCGTCTAAGAAACACTGCTGGAACATAGTTGCATTTTTTCCAACAATATAGTTCCTCTCATTTTGCCCCGACCATGAAGTACACTCTAGTTAACCTATCTTGCCTGCAGTGCAGCGGCATCTGCTCGCACAAGCCTCAAGGTGGAAATGTCGAGAAAACAACCCGAGAGATAAAGAGGAATAAAATGCTCTGTGAGGCCTCCTCTCCCGGGAACCATCGCGCCAATGAAAAACACGTCTGCTAAGTCGTCGCCGTGCTGATTCGAGATGTCAAGCCTGAATAATGTTATTCGACGATGTGTCGAGCAGATTGCGCAGTTTCTGTGGAGCCTCAGTGGCCCCGGCACCTTCTGGCTGAATGCCCGGCCGGCTCTTTAATACTATTTGGAGTGAAGTCAAGCAGTCTGGAGGAGCTGCTCGTCCTCCCAATCAGCCAATGGGGCACATCGGGGCCCTGGGATTTAATTGTGGGAGATGAATGGAGTGGGCCAGTCTACTTTCACTGACCTGTGTGTCTAACACACCATGCAGCTGGCTGCTCACTCTAAGGCGGGTAAATCTGATAAGCGCCGGGCTAAACGGTGCAGATATCCTGTGTGGGCACGGAAGGGCAGTGGAAGTCACATTAGTTGGGTAAACAAAATGTGAAAACCATCGAAGAGCTGAAGTAACAGACTCTTGTGTGTGTGTGCGTGTGTGTGTGTGTGTGTGTGGACTGATGGTTTTAGTACTTCAATGTGTTAAGTGATAAATGCAAACCAAGGTGAGCTTTAAGAAACTTCAAATTCAGCCACAAATGTTTTTGTGCTGTCAATTGGTATATTTATGCAAATGCAACCTATCAATCAATAGCTACCACTCAAATGTGTCTCTGGTGTTGTCTGTACTTGTCGATTGTACTTTTTTTGTACGTTTTAGTTATTATTTCATTTTTCTTTAGGAGACATTTAGATTTTTTCGTCTTACGTCTCATCTGTAACTTGTTGTTATTGCTGCTGTCATGAATAGACTTTTGACTTTGCCTTTTGAAAAAAATTGTGTTAATTTAATTATATTTTAAGCCTTTAACTTGCTGAAAAAGATATATGTGTCAGATACAAAAATCCATCATGTGTTCTGCAGTTTAACTGTAATATCTTTGTGTAAACTAGGATTTTGTGCCATGACATTAAATGCAATTATATTACATTACATTACATGTCATTTAGCAGACGCTTTTATCCAAAGCGACTTACATTACACTTTAAACCCATGGCTTTTTTCACATTTTTTTTTTTGCCCGGGGAGCAATTAGGGGTTAGGTGTCTTGCTCAGGGACACTTCAACATGGAACATGGGGCAGTCTGGAATCGAACCCACAACCTTGTGCTTCCCAGCACACCTTCTCTAGCCCCTGCGCCACGACGACCCCGCGCCACGACAATATATATTGGATCCAATGTCAAATAAAGAAAATATATTGATAGTTACTAACAAAACCTCATGAACAAACACATGGTTCATTTAAAAAAAACAACTACGGAAATAGTGAAACATAACTCAGTGCCCTCTATTAGTATTTTGATACTTATGAGCTATCAACTGATATGAAACTGTTTTTCAGGACGTTATAAATAAGAGTCTGACCAAACACTTCCCAACGCACGGTTTGCTTAGTAGCTTTAATGAACTCTTCACTCGTATCACACAGTCATCAGCTAATAAAGCCTCAGATTTATAGTTATGAATTAGATCCATAACAGCATTCATGTCAGCAGATCTGTCTCCATGACAACCGGGCATACTCAAATCCACAGATGAAGACTTTGAACTGTGATACAGTCTCATGCTAAGCAACAAAAAAGACAGCCGGGGAATGGAGTTACTCTTCCCATCACATCCGCAGCAGTATCTGTTTGTGAGATCGTTCAATTTTTTATACAAATGACCCACGTTTGTGTACTACAAAGAAGTGAACGATTTGAAGTGGAAGTATGTGGACTGTATTCCTGAATGTGCAAATATCTCATGGTGCCTCTGAGCTCAAAAAGGAAGTATGAGTGCTTAATGTTGATTTCAACCCCCATCTTCCAAGTGGACCTTGAATTCGGTTGTGATATGTCAAACTATTATCTCTTATAATTATGATAAGCAAAACCCCAATCAGCACAGGCTTAAATTGCATGACTTCAAATAGGTACGTTTCTTCATGTCAGTAAAATGTAGTCCCTGAATTAAATGTAATGATCCCCCTTTCTGAGTAATCTATTTTACCATTATGATATATATCACATTAGCTATTTATTAGTTATATCGATAAGGGTCTGTTGTATATTAAGCATGTATGCGTTGTGCCTTTATCTTTAAATTGTACCTGCAACTGTAAAGTAGCGTAGAATCTCAAACTACATCCTGTCGCTTTCTTTAGCGGGACCGCACTGACTCTGCCGCAGCGCTCGCGCGCTTTTGGACTACAAACCGCCTCAGTCTCATGTGTAGTGCAATGCTATTGGTCCACGAAGTGAGCTTAACAGCCAATCACATCTAGCCTTCTAAGATGCAGAAAAAACTGAAGTTGTTGTGCTATTTCCTCGACCGGTAATGTCTGAGTGCGGTGAGTTCTACTGAATTAATTTGACTTATTTTATGTGGATAATACTTTTATAATGACGCATCGCATACCGGTATTTGTGTATGGAGGTTTTCAACGGGGGGAGACAGCTAATGTTAACTTTTGGTCTGTCGCCGCCATTATACCACCGAAGAAGCGTATCCCGCCCTCCTTCTTCGGTCTTTTCTTCTTCTCCTCCTTGGTAACGTTAGCACAGAGTAAGCGCCACTGGCCCAAGTGGCAAAAGGGGTTTAGTCGCTAGCTAAGTTGGCCTCTGCGCAAGACATCAAGGAGTGATCAGACGGCCGTTCTATTAGCTTCCGAGCTAGCCAGCAAGCTAGCTACCACGCCGGGGGCACCAGTTAGCCATGTTGCTAGAAAAATGGCCATCGTTGAATGGTTGCAACACAGTACAGGTCAGAGATAGTACAGTTGGCTAGCTAGATGTTAATCGATAGCCTCGCCGTCGTCCTTGATAGCTCGCGCCAGACCAGCCCCGACTGAAAATCGGTTCAAAGGTGCTAACATCACGTTTTGGTAACATCCGGCAATTGCATACATGAGTGCTTTATCTCTTTATTTGTACCCCGTGTCTCTTTGTGAGTCAATATTGGACATAGTGCCAGCAGAAAACACACAGTAGTATTAGCGGTAGGTTACCCTCCACGATGCGTCTCACGGAATACCGGTAATATTCATGGCGTTTAGACCAATGTTTAGTCCACCTGGTTCGCAAATTACAACAGGTGTTTGACACACACACACACACACACACACACACACACACGATGATGTGGTGTCGAAGCCGGGCTGAGGTGTTGCAGCATGAATCACAGTGTTTTGTAGAGAAGAAGGGCTCAAACTGACCACACCGTAGCACCATCCCAACAGGGGGCAGTGGGTCATCATTATGTCATAATTGTTTGTTTAAATTATGTGGCTATTTTGCTTTCTTAATTTCTACTATAAAATAAGAAACAAGGAGATGCTCAAACCAGCATTGCCTTTGATGCAGTGAAGTTCTACCCGTCTAAGATAAAGTCTCACAGACCTCTATAAATATCTCACTTCTCATGACACCTTCTTTTGGGTGAATGTGGTGGTTGCATCAGTCTGCTACCATAACCTGAAAACTACAGGTGTCCAGTTGTTATAGAACATAATTGTTTGGGGGGGGGGGGGGTGGTGTTCAAAAAGGTAATCCATATATCTGTGATACATTTTCAAAAATCTTAGGAAGGATCACGTGGTCTTGGGGCTGAGTATCAAAGACGAGAGACCGATTTACAAAGCAATGTTTTTAGGCCAGTCATGGGATTTGTCAACAATAACAGAAATATGGACGAGCTTATCACTCTTATCCTTTGAGCCATTGCTTTGTCTGCTAGTGACGATAATGAACTAGCAGATGTCCCACACTGGTGTTATTAAAAAGTATTAGCGTGTCTTTTTGTGGATTTCTTTTGATTTGCGAGGCTAGAGTTCTACTGGTGCAGTATGAGGGCGGACTGCTATCTAGTGAGTGGGAAGGATTGCAGACACAGATTTTGATTGAACACAAGCCTCACTCACCAACAGCGAGCCCTTCCAGTGGGTCCAATTATGGCACATATCTAATTGATGTTGGAGCTAAATGTCTGCCTGGTCCAAGAAATGACAGAGAGAAAAAAAAGAGCAAGAGCCATGGCAAGGTCTCCACTGAGCAGCAACCTGCATGGTCAAACTAACAATTAGCCCAGGCTCAGCACATGGTGAGTCATCTTGGCCAACCCAGGGTTAGCCTCTTGGCGCTCGAGTCCAAGCTGTTGTCTTGATAATATATGCAGGCACTTATTTTCATCAGGAGAGGGCAATGTTCACAACCTAACTTTAAATGTAATGTACAGAGGGGGTGGAAATCTGTATACGGCTCACGTCGGGATATTCCAAGCATGCTGAGTTTTGTGCACTGTTTCACATATTTATCTACAAATCAGTTTTGCATTGCTGCCATTTCCTCTGAAATGTTTTCTATTCCCAACCCCTTAGCAGAGATGGAGAGTTCGTCGGTGTACATGTGCTTCCCCTGCTACCAGGAGTTCAACACCCTGGAAGAGGTGCTTGAGCACCAGTTGACGTGCACCGCTGAGGACGAACAGCTGGAAGCCCCTGGAAGCACCCCAGTCACCGTTCCGCTGCTTCAGACTCGGGTAAATACTGGCGCAGTCAACAATTCCCCCATTTCATCACAAATGCAAGATCTTGATCTTTAGCTGGCAACAGACCTCAAAAAACATCAATATCGTAGCGGTGTGGCCTGAAACGTCAAAGGGTGCGGTTGCATAAAACTCTCGACGAAGAGAGAAGGAGAATGACATTGAAGTGACAAGCACACATTAAGTAATAAATTGACAATGTTCTGCTACTCGTCATAGTAATAGTGACCTTGGTCAGGGCACTTAACATTGAGTTGTTTGTTGTGATTTATTTATTGTTTTATTTCAAGGTGTGGTGTATTACTATCAAAGTTACCGCTGATGTAATGATTAGTCCCACAATAGTCAAGAGGTTCTTTTTTTCTCTTTTTTATATATTATTACGGCTCATTAGAGCTCGCTGATAAATTGTATTTTTATCATCATCTGACTTTGAAAATGTTAAGTAAACACATGATTTATAAAAAATAATTTGATCTGGGATTGTAACCAACACCCGGTATTAAATTGTGCTAATTGGCTAATTCCACTCCAAAGTTAACCGTAACCCAAGTGACAACAACTATGCTCGGCACTGTTTGCAAGTGCAGTAAAACGGCACAACTTGAGCAACATTTTTTAGAGTTGTTCAACAAGCATACCGATTCGCTACCTCAACCAGTTGCAAAATGTTACAAACAAATAGACTACACAGCCTGCGTGTTATTATTCGATTACCTTCATATAGTATAGACATCGCGTAACCTCTCAATTAACCACGCTCAAACAAAAGTCGAGTCCACGTATTTTATAATTTGTCAAATTCAAGAACTGTAAAATCGTCTCTGTGATGTACACAATGTGCGGAACATGCGTGTAATGCGTTGGGCTGGCTAAATCCCCCCCCCCCCCCCCTTTTTTTTTTTATTGATACTGAAATATGTTTGAACAGATTAGGAGCAGGAGGGGATGACGTGTGATAAAGATCACAGGCCGGGTTTAAGTCAAGGACATCACATTCACATGGTATCTAGTCGGGCCGCCGGGTCATTATTTTTGGGCTCCGGATTATTAATCAAGATCACTCATTGTTTTAAAATATAAAAGACTTGTGTTGCACTTTCCCATTTAAATGAGCAGAGCTTACACGTCGCGCTACATTCCAGCTAATGTGGAAATCTTTGGATTACAAAAAGATTAATTCTTATAAGTGCATTCGTTTTGAAGCAAAATAAATTGAATACATCAGAATGTTTTTACCAAGAATATAATGTACAGAGCACAACTAACTAAGTCTTGGCATTTAATGAGAATAATTATCTTCGTCCTCAATGCAGTGCATTTACTGTCAATCTTTTTTGACCCTTGTGTTCACTTAGTGAGTCAATAGAGTACTTAGATTGTCACCGCAATGTACATTCATATGTATTTTTGAGCGTATTTTTTAACGCCCACAATGCATTTCACAGAACAGCATTTCACAGTCTCTAGAAAAACATCTGACTCATTAATAAATGTTTTTTGAAGAACCTTTCGTGCTTGCGGCCGTGGCTGAAGTGCGTTTTGTCAGTTTGGCTTGTCTTTAACATTTTGCAACGTCCCCTAGGATTAAAAAAATGAGCTGATTGGAATTTAGCGGCCACCTGCTGGGAATTACATTTGGCCCAAATGTCTACCTGGTCTTAAGGATGAACTGATTGGAGTTTGGTGGCTCTGTGACTTCACAAACTTACCATTTTGACCTTAACGCAAAAATCCGTAAGTTAATATTGACAATTTTACACAAATGTGTAATTGGGTAGAATTGTTGAGTGATGACACGTTGGACTGGATGTGCACTGCTACTTGACTGGTTTGTGTTGGCAAACAAGCATGAGGTCGTTATTCTAACTTTAATATACATATTTTCTATGGGTGGAGCATGTATTCAAATCACACACAGTTGATCATATCCATTGGATTTGGGGTTATTAGGAGATAATTATGTGAGGTCTTGGTTTTGAAGCTAAATCATCAAGATGTGCTTCATTCTCCAATAATAATGAATAACTAGTCCCCATGATAATGGTCTTTTTTTGCTGTGTACTAACTGTGCTTCTGTACGTAAATGCATTTGTACTTCTATTGTTTAATCCTAAACAATAGAAGTATACCAAGTTATGCGTCTTTTATTTCTGCGATTTGAATTTCAGAGTCGTAGAGTTGTTGAACAGGGCGATATAAATGTCCATTGAGTGTCTTTTCTTCCCCCCTTTTTTCTTTTTAATTTTGTCATGACAGCTTCAGAAAAGCCTTCAGCAGTCATTGGCACTTGTTTGGCATGACTGTACAAACTGTACATCCTTACTGTCTTCAGCACGCTTCCATAAAGCATAGTGACACTCATGACAGAGTGCGGGGGGTAGGAAAAGCATCAGTCAGCGCCACCCGTTCTCCTGATGGATCGTGCATTGGCCTTCTCATAGATGAATCAGCAGGGCAAACACTGTATGAGCTTATGACATCCTGGCCCCCGCTTGGCCTAAGCTGCTTCCTTACGAGCATCCCCATTTCATCAGCTAAATAATAGTTAGTGTTATTATTACATTTGCAAATCTTATTAAACTGATCAGAACACGCACTTCACATATGGCACCATTGAAATGTATCAATAATGATAGCAATAAGAGCCCGAGTAGTTCAATCTGTGTGATTTGTTAATCGAACTCCTTTGAGCTCTGAAAGCTTTTATTTTTTAGTGTGGTCCCTCTAACGGGACGGTCAAGTGTTGTTAGACCGTATTACTTGATGTGCTCTTCAGTCGTGGTGCTCTGGCTTGCTGCTAGTTTTGTCATTTTAGTAGTCCCATTAACTATAATAAACAAATATACACGACAACCTGTGCAATCATTTATTGAAATACACCGAGAACTTTGTTATTTTGTTCTGCACTGAGGAATAAAAAATGTATTCAGCATTCAACTGTCCAAATGTTTAGTGGGACATGTTGCTTCCTGGTGCAGATAACCCTCGTGCAGGGTTTCCACACAGGACTTTGTGAGACTAGTGGGAGGACCTTTGACCCTCTATGGAGGCGTGCTCTCCTACAAAAACATTTTGTACATTTATTTTAGGTAAATACTTCGATTCGGTGGACTTTGAATGCAAAAAGTAGGATCCATGATGGACTTGTGTGCTTGTGTACACTTTTTCTGCTCTTGGTCTCGGTGGTAGAAGGGGTATTTAGAATACTTCAGTATTGTACTTTATTACAATTTCGTATTTACTTTTAATCTACTTTTCTGAATTTAATTTCATGTTACTTCGTAGGAGTCCACAACATCTCGAAGGCAAATGCTGTACTTTTAACTCCACTAAATGTATTTATAAATATTATTTACTAGTTAGGCTATTTTGCTGATTCAGATTTAATGCAAAATATATCTCAAATCATAAACTAATGCATTATTTAGACATCCAATAGCCCAACCGGATTTTGAATCATATTCCCTGAGGAACAAGCTGTTATTATTGTTGCCGAGTTTTCAAATTATGATGTATTCTAATATAATTATATATATATATATATATATATATATATATATATATTATTGTGTAATTATGAATGTGTTATTGTGACTTTAATGTGACTGCTGGTAACAGTTGAGCCAATTAATTATATATATATATATATATAATAATTACACTATAATATAGGCCTATTGTGAATATATTATTTAGTTTTTGTCATTATGCAATATGCGTTCACTTCTATGCTGTAAACGCATTCGGAGCCGTGTACTTATTCCACTTTCCAAGCCAAGCTACAGCATGAAATTCTCATATATTTAGCAATCAATTCTAGGTCTTATTGCTCACCCCTGTTATGTTTTGTCCGGTGGAAGACGTCGCGCAATCATTATTATTTTTTCACTATGAAACAAACACTTTTCAAAACTTGCACTTATCACAAAGGTCAAAATAAACTCGAATCGGATTAAGAAAATACGCTTTAATTCTTTTTTTTCTTCTTTTTTTTTCTTCTAAAACAGAACTGCAAATTCACATTGCAAAAAGTCTTCAGAGATTTATAAAAAAATAGAAATTTAACCGGATAATGAGAACTTGTTTTCTACACTCAGACACACTCACAAACACCCCCATGTTCACTTGAAGCTTATTCATTAAATTATTACCATCATTGTAGTGCAAGTTAAGTAAATGTATACACTCTAAAATACAGCTAAAAAATAACTGTGCTATGAGATGACGTTCATTCCTCACGTCAAAACGGGACAACGTGGTGCTCCCGCCCCATGTTACGTTGAATGGCATATTTTGCCATTGACACACTTTTTAGTTTGTTTAGTGTGAAATGCTCGCACACCGAGGACGACTCAAGTCGAACAGACGTCTCTGGCTGCACCATGTGACTCACAACAACTGCCGCGGCTGCTGGCTGCTCTTTCCTCTACGTCGGCTCGGCTCCTTCTTTTATTTTGCTTCGTGCGCATTTCTGCAACTCATTGAGTGACGTCATAATCGCGCGACACAACGAATCGATATATGAAATTCGTTGCCAACCCTTTCAATAATCGATTTTTAGCGATTTCATCGATTCGTTGTTGCAGCCCTAATCTGTATGCGGAAAAAAAAAAAAATGTAATCAGAATCCTATCGATTGAGACGACGACATTGTTCAGTGCTCTCATAAATACAGCCCACAAATCATTGCGTTATGTGAGACGTGTTGAACAGTTTTAATTGAGACACTTTCCAACGTCTTTAACCTCGACCTTGATGTTCTGTTTTTATCGCCCTAGTAGACTGAGGGAGCGAATGTAAAACCCTGTGGAGTGACCTGTTCAACCCTGATGGGCCTGATAGTTATCAGCCGGGCTGAGGCCTTATCTTGGCTGTCTGGCGCTTGGCTCGAAACGCATTCTGCTCTAATTGACCTCACGGACACTGAAGTCTCATCCCTCGTCTGCCAGAGAAAATGAATCGAAAACCAAAACGCTGCAGATTTTGCGCCAAACAGCTTTTGACAAGGAGACATTTCCTTTGTGCGCGGAAACAAACGCAACAAAAGAAACATTAAAGATGATCTAATCTCAGATTTTCTCTTTCTCTCTCTGCTTTCTTGTCGTCGCAGCAACAGGTCATAAATATACCAAAGACAGCCCCACCGATTGAGACCCAAGCAGGGCAATCCTCGGTTCTCAAGCAGGCGGCACTCAGTGCAAACGTGACATCGGACCAGCCTAGAATCCTCTACCAATGTGGGGACTGTGATGAACTTTTCAAGAGCCTGGACCTTTGGCAGCAGCATCGTAAAGAAGAGCTATGTCAGCAGCCCGCCTCTGGGAAGGAGTCGATCCCCGAGCCACAGCCCGAAGCGGAGGCCGCTTCCGCGCAGGACGCCACTTCCACTTTAAATCCAGAGGATTCTTCGCCCTCAAACGGTGAAGCCAGTGAAAATCTCGAACCCGAACAAGCGGGGACCACCGCAGCGGAGGAGGAGGAGGAGGAGAAGGGGGAGGAGGAGGGCCAGCCGCCGGCTGACGCCTCTCTGGCTCAGAGCTCCGACCCGGCCGTTTCGGAGGCAGCCGCCTCGACCTCCAATCAAGAGGATTGGTCTCCCAGGAGGAGAGGGGCGAACAAAAAGGCCAAACCGGAGCCAGTGCTGCTGTGTGTGGACTGTGGCTCGTGCTTCGGTCTGGTGTCCGAGCTCGTGGCCCACCGCAAGACGCAGCACGGCTTCGAGGAAGCGCTGCATCGCTGCGCCGTGTGCGGGGAGAGCTTCCTGAACACCACCCTCTTCCTCTACCACCGCAAGCAGCACCGGCAGAAAGGTGAGGAGAAGGCGGCCGAGGGCGCCGGCGGCGCGGCGGAGCCGGTTTGCGCTCGGAGCGACGGTGCCGGCGAGCCGGGCCGCGACGCCGCTCCCTTGGACGCCGCCTCCAGTTGCGCGCCGCCCGAGTTGTTCATGTGCACCCAGTGCGGGGAGAGCTTCGGCGAGGAGGGGGGGCTGGGCGCCCATCGCAAGCATAAGCACGGCCTGACGGAGCCGCTGCACAGCTGCCGCTCCTGTGGCGAGAGCTTCATGAACACCACCCAGTTCCTGTACCATCGGCGGAAGCACCGCTTCTCATCGGGGACGGATGTCGCCGATACCGGCGACGAGGCCCCCTCCGCCAAACCTCCGGATAGCCCCCGGAGCTCAAAGCGGCTGCTCTCCCCGTCCGCCGCCGGCGAGCCAGGATCACCGCTGCCGAAAAGAAGTAGGCCCACTTTCAGGATCCTGAGCGGCAACAGTGCCGGTAAGTGAGCGTATTCCTTTAATCAAGTCACCGTCTTCTCTGAAGCCCGTTTGTTTCGCCGGGCGTTTTGGCTCCTTAATGAACAGGTTTTGTTTTTGTGTTGCGTCAGGACACAAGGGCCTCAAAGACGAATCAGAGGGCAGCGCTGCAGCAGACTCTGACAACACCAACCACCCTCCACCTGCCAAGCTGCTACAGGACTGGGCCCGCACGCCACTACCCCACGTTTGCCCTTACTGTGGCAAAACCTTCACCCGGCGCGTCTTCCTCCGCACGCACGTCTTCAGCCACACCGGAGAAAAGCTCTTCACGTGCAAGGTGCCAGTCAAAATCTGTCCTTTTTACTTATGTCTGGGGGATAATTGTATTGGCTGAAAATGTCACTTTCATCATACGGCAGACGTTGTTGAGATGATGTAATACTTTTGAAGTGTGTCAGGGTTGACTAGCACAATCCTCAACCTCCGGCCTCATTATATTTGACAGTTTGACAGTTGTGCTCAAGAATTAGGATTTGAGGAGATGCAGCCTCATACAACTTTTGCTAATACAACTTTGGCTCTGATCCTGACTATCGTGGCTCTGAAGGTTTGTGCAAAGTCCTTCACCAACTCCCAGAGCCTGCTGCGCCACAGCATGAGCCACACGGGCAGCAAACCCCACAGCTGCGACGTTTGTGGCAAAAACTTCTCCCAGGCGGCCTCCCTGAAGAGACATCAACGCATCCACGCAACGCCACAGCCTCGGCGCAGGCGTGGACGCAAGCCGGTACCGTCTCCCTCTTTTTACTTCTATTAAAACACCTCTCAAATTCAACGCTTCTATTACAAAATGTTGTATTTATATGGTTTTTAAAGCATTTATTTGTTGTCACAATAGAAATCCTGGAAATATTTTTGGTAGATAAGTGGAATCCTTAGATTTATTTATTTTTCTCTGAGCTTGACTGCTTTGCCCCTCAATGCAGGTGTGTTTGTTGGACAACGAGGGATCTGCCCATCTCTTCTCCTGTCCTCACTGCCCGTCACGGTTCAACACGGAAGAGCAGCTCAACCATCACAAGTAATAACACGGCAACGATGTCCTACTAGTTGTTCCGCATTCTTTAATTGTGGAAATTAGGAGGAAAAAAAACACAACCCATCCAGTGAACGACTTCCACTGTGCATCATATTCAACAGCAGTCAATAATCAGTCATTCACAACCCTGTTAGTGCGCATTAGAGTTACGAATCCAAACAGAAGACAGGACAGGATTTCGATCAAACTGACGCCCTCGCCAAGAGCCGTAGTAGTTGAGCCGTGTCTGACTACCGAACAAGACCTCAAAGCCGCGTTGCAACCCACTGACTTAAGATGTCTGCGTGCCCTTGAGCCTCAGTCATACATGATTGATTGACAGCGGCCCAGTGAATTAAGATGATAGCGATAACACCCCAGGGCCACGGAAGAGCCGGGTCCTGTGCTGCCTGGTGGAGCGAGGCGGAGAGGACACACTGTGCGCACGTGTACGCCGGTTTGTGTGTATTTGATCGGCTGGATGTACTGACCCCCAAAACAAGTTTACCTGTAGACAATCGTGTTGAAGGACAAAAACGGTGGCATTTTCAAAACGAAACTGTGAAGCATACAGGCAGCTTCTGCCACACTAGTTGGAGTCAGTGTTCATCAGCAGATAACATCAGTTAATCAACATCTATTGGTCCATTATTTAACATTATTATTTATTAATTTCCCGACAGCAGTTTTAAACCCAAACGATCAGTAGCAGATGCAGATTACACATGCACATTGCACATATGGTTATTTCCAAGATCAAAGCTATATATATAAGCTCACTATTTGCCAAGATGAGGAGAATCTGAAGCTGGTCATTTTGCTAGTAAATAGCAAAAGGGATTAGATTCTGTAAGTGCAGTAATAGTGTCGAGCGTGCACGGTCACCCCCACTCATTAGAGAACATGGGGTTGGGAGAAGAGGTGACCCTGGCTGAAAATATAATCCTCCCAGTTGCCTCGGGTTCAGCTGTCCCTGAAATATTGATTTCTCTTGTCTGTTTAAGGGGGAACAGAAACCTCCGGGCCTCTCATACGGGCATCGAGAGGTCCTTGCACATCACCTCCAGCATCCTGCTGCACTTGAAGTGACTCGTGTCTTTTGCTGCACCATTAACTGCAGCCGCAATACACATAATGCGTAAACCTGTCTGCGTGCAGTATCTAGTGCCGCATTGTGATCCCTGAACTTCAACATCCTCTTGGTTGATTCTGATTAGGAGAAACTGCTCATAGAGTCCATGGTTTATTTGAGCCATGCTGTATAGGCAGTCCTGATGCAGCATTAGGTGAAAACGTCTCAACACTTCTCTCCTCCCCTAAAGCTACATGCAGTGTAACGTTATGCCATGGATAAGTATAGTCTTTCATGTCCTAACTCCTCCCAGTTTATTGCTTTTTAAAATATTTTTATTTTTCCATCTCCATCCGTTATACACTCCGCTAATACCTTTTATTTAACCTCCAGCACAGCTAAGCACATACTTACTGGTAATCCTCCTACAAGTCAAACAAAGGGTGGCAGCTTAAAACTAAACATTACTTTTCCCTCATTTAAAAAAAAAGAATATTTGATGTGTCTTTTGTTTGTCCCAAGTCTTCAGTGCACTTTAATTGTTTGGCTGACGGTTCCCTCTCCCCGCAGAGGCCTTTCTGGCCCCTTTTTATTACGCTGAGCCATGTCCGTGTAATTCCTTTTGTTGGATAAATAAAACAGGTCATCCTAAATAGTTAAAGCTCTTATGTGAACGTGTTTTAAACAGACTGCTCCACACCAGCCATCCGTTCCCTTGCCATGAATGCGGAGAGGCCTTCAAACGCCGGAGAGACCTGGACCTGCACTCGCTCACTCACCAAGGTGAGTGACTTCTACCGTGTGGCCATTTACATTACAGCAACGTGGTATCAAGGAAGGAAGAACACGAGCCCTTTTGCGCGCTCGTGACGGATACCTAATTAGATGTGATGTTTTTATCTTATCGGGACAGTGTGCTGAGAATTACAATGGAGCAACGCACAGGCGATGAATGCCCCCATCAGCCCGCCCGGGTGGCCTATCTTGTTTGTTTACAAACGTACATCCGCGTTATGTGTGCTTTGTTCTTGTGATGCATTAAGTCAATGACTTTCCATTGATTTGCGTCCCACACGCAACGCGGATGGAAGAGAGAGGTAAATGAATTAGGTCGACATGTTGACTCTTCATCTTAATCAGAGAAGGGGGGCTTTGGCACGTCGGCCTCATTAGTTAAGCTCCAAGAGTCGGCGTGCCGCGGGGTTCAGAGGTACGACGCTCCTGTCGGAGAGAAGATGGTAGAGATTGATCCATTGATCAGCCCGGGGCCTGAGGCTTAGACTGTCCTTATTAAATGTTTAATTAGAGGGTCCCAGTGGGTCGCCCCCGCAAGGATAGACGGTACAGATGGTTAGCAGATTGCAAGATGTTGGCGTGGCGACCTGTAGACACAACGATGAACCGCCAGCGTCAGCGATTTCCCAGCCAGGATCTCAAGAGCAACGCGGCCAGAGTGCGCTTCGCTGTGCCAAAATACAACAAGGGCGCCGGCTGATCACAGCTGGAATGATAAGCAGATTAATTGATTAGCCAACTGACAGGAAAATAATCAGCAGCACTTATGAATCACTTTAATCGTGAAAAAATGTCGGCTGTTTGTTGTACCTGCCATCTCAGTTTGTGTTTTAGACTTAAAAAGATATGTAAATGTGATATTTATATGATTTGAACATTAAAGGACAAAAATGCCTATTTCAGAATCACACTGGGAAACGATTCTGACATTTTTATAGATCAGATAAATAATCAGCTACCTGAGACCAAACCAGATAAATTGATAATGAAATACTTCTTGTTTGTAGTTCTAAAAAATGTTTATTATTGGTTAGTTTTTCAATGATTGTGTTATCATTAAACAGTGGGGAGAACAAGTATTTGATACACTGCAGATTTTGCAGATTCAGTCACTCACAGTTAAAGAGTACTTATGATAAAAATGACAGACTCCTACATGCTTTGTGGGAAAATCAGCAATGTATCAAATACTTTATATGTATGCGGTGATTTACTGTAGCTTGTTACAACTTCCCAGACCTCTTCATTGTACTTTTTGTCACGCCAACCAACCAAGGAAACCACAGGGATCACGCCTGTCCGGTCAAATGGATCACTGAGTTTATGAAATATTGTAACCACAAATGTCCGTGCAGATACGCCTTGATGATCTAATATGTTTAAATGATATGTTTATTACATGAATATAAAGTAATGAGGACCCCTTTGATATTTACTGCATTTGATGACACAGCTGTTTCAAATGCTTTTTCAAACTGCAGTACACCACAAATAACATTAGTGAAGTGTGTATAATTAAAATTAGATGCAGATATTCTTGGGAGATTGCTGTAGATTGAGACTCCATTTTCATTGCTTCACAGGACCGGAGCAGGGGGCTCAAATACTAATGACTATGTTATTTATGATGATTTTATGCCTGACACAAAAGCACACCAGCAGGGTTTGGGTTAATATAAAATGTATATATATTATATTCTGCTCTGATGCAGCGTGACTGGTGCAACAAGGCTGTAAAGCCTTTTGCACGGCACACTGAACAATCAACCAAAGGGTTAAAATGTTCGCTCTTTACTAAACAGGATTTGCAGAGGAATCGGGGCTTCACAAGGTGTCTTGTTTTAAGGTCAATGCCAAATAAACACACGGTGAAAACATCAGTTAAAGGGTAGGTTTTAAAAAGCCATGAAATAATTCATCCCGTTGTTTTCAGTTGAATTCTTTTAATACGAAAATTTAACAAGGAGTTGTTTGTTACATAAACATCCCTTTGTTTATTGCAAGTAATAAAGTTATAGCAATATTTCACAACATTATTGTACATTGCATAATTTCCTCATATAATGCAGCCGTCGCAATCATTTTTTTATCGACATAAGCAGTGTCGCAAGCTGTTTCCATTGTATTGCACAAAACGGAGCAGCAAATCATCACGCTGCTTCTTCATGAACACCTTAAAGATTGTTTTGACGATCACCAGCAATGATTGTGTGATGGTTTGATTTGGATTGTGAAAATTGACAAAATGATGAATCGGCCTCTGTTTCCAAAGCAGACCAGTTGACTTGTCGTAGAATGGAAACGTGTGGTTTAATAATAAACCTTGATCATGTCTCCAGCATGTACAATACCAGGGCCTTCAAACCCAGCGTACATTTAACATTTACATGTTTCCCTGCAGCGACATGTCAAAATCCCCTCCCCCTGATATATAAAAGAGTTGAAATGCCTGCAAGCGCCACCGGCTGCAGCACAACAAGCGCCGATCCGGATGACCGGCCTAACAGCTGAACCCTGTTCCATTGCAGACAAGCAGCCGGTGACGTGTCCGCACTGTTCCTCCCAGTTCGTGAACCAGTCAGTGCTGGAGATCCACATGCAGCGCTGCCCTTCCACGGAGGAGGACAAGAACACCGGCCGTGGGCGGGGTCAGGGCCGAGGACGATGCACCGGGCAGGTCTGTAATGTCGGGGGTAATGAATGATGGCCGGGGTGTGAGGGAGGAACGAAGTACACGCACCGCTTCGGCATTCTGCCAGTTTAGATAGAAAGAAAGTGGGGTTAGCGTGGGCGGGGAGGGGGGGGGATGTTACCAAGGTCCCCGCTTGTGTGACGTCGTGGTAACATCTCCGTCTGCCCTCCAAGGCTCCGACCTTTTCTCTTTTCATGAATCGTTCCTCCTCAGTCTCCTTACTCTGCTTTTTTCCCGCCCCCTGTTCCGTCTCCTTGTCCTTCAGGTTGAGTGTGACCTGTGCGGCCACCGTTGCATGACGCAGGAGGGCCTCGACCTTCATCGGTTGTCCCACACGGGCCAAACACCCCTCAAATGCCCAGTGAGGCCTTGCCGCCGCCGATTCACCTCCAACAGCACCCTGGAGGAGCATGTGCTGGCTCACTTCCAGGGCACGCTCAGCAAGTCCAAAAACCAACCCCGCTTCCGCTGTCAGATTTGCCTCAAGGAGTTTTCCTATAATTCCACCTTTAATGTTCACATGAGGACGCACACTGATGAGAGGCCCTTCGAGGTAAGAAGGACGGTGCTTGTGTGTGTGCTTGTGTGTGCATAAAAAGGCAATGTCTCTCAACCTTCTGAATCACAGTTTGCCTTTTTTTTTCTCCTATGAGCGGCTTTTAAACCCTTTTAACGGCCGCATTTCTTAAATTGTCATCCAGCACTTCCTCTCCCCCACGGTCACTCTGGTTCGCCGCTGTGGCCATCCCTCAGCTTCTGGGCCGTGGTCATTTGTGCAGCGTGTGTCCTGCGGGTGTTTCCTCCCTCCCTGTGTACCTGTGATTAATGACAGGGCTGAGTTAGGGCCTGTCAGCCCCCTCTGTGTCCGTTTCTATTCTGGGACTCTCTCGCTCTCCCTCTATTTCTCTGGTGACGAGGCAGGACATCAACTATAGGCCCATCGTAGCCCATCATAGCGCACCGGGCTGTAAAAATTGATTGACTTCTGTGGCTTCGCTGTGAGCAATATCTGTCGGGGATACTATAGACGTACGTTCAAGGAGCGTCGGTGCACACGCACACAGGTATTGGGTGGAATTGGAATGTAAGTGATAATAAGTAATATTCCGTGTGTTCCTGAATCACTATATTTATTTACGAAGTATAGGAAGAGCAAATCAACTGATCAGAGTATTTCTCACAGAAGTACTGACACAGCGAAATCGCCAACAGGGGTTGTAGATGCAATCCTGGCGTCCCAAATTGGGGTGTCAAAGCAAACGAGTTATTCTTCTGTGGTGGTTTGATCAAGTGTTCACCGGGTAGTTGATCCTAAACCTTATTCTGGTAAATAATCATAAATAAAAGATACAGTTATCAAGCAAAAAGGCTAACTCGAACTCTGGTTCTAGCTTCTTTACATTACATTACATTACATTACATGTCATTTAGCTGACGCTTTTATCCAAAGCGACGTACAATAAGTGCATTCAACCATAGGGTACAAACTCAGGAGAACAAGAAACAAGAAAGTGCAATTTCCTCAAATAAGCGAATTTGCAATTTGCTATAGATGAGTGACGTCACAAGTACAATTTAAGTGCTACAATTTGTTAGTCTTTAGTCGAGGTAGAGTCTGAACTATTCTTTAACGTGAATAGTTTCTGGTTTTCTAAGTCTTCTGTGACGGTCAGTTGACGGACAATAACAAACGTTGCCTTGCACTCCTCTTCCTCCTCCTCTTCCTCCAGCCCTGTCAGAAATGCTGCATCTTTAGAAAAGTATGAACAAAACTGTACTTTCTTGGCACCTCCTCACCTTTCTATGTTTTGTACACTTTTCCCTCCCGGCCCCATCTCCCCTCCCTCCCTTCCCTTCCCTCCTCCCTCCCGCTTTGATCCCTCGGGCAGAACGCAACAATGTGCAAGCGCTTTCCGCCAGCTT